CTAATGAGGGCTGGGAGCCTTCACACAGGAATGCGGCCTCACGGGCTGTAATTTGACCAATTGTTGACATCTGGGGCGTAATTACTAGGCCCCAGACTGATAATCCTGGTAAGCCCACCTCATCCAGGGCCCCATCCTGGTGCCTTCTGAGGGCTCCACCCCCACCCCAGGAGCCAGCAGCCATCATTACAGCCACAGAGCAAGATGGGCAGCACACCGACCAGCTTTGTTATGGAACAACACCCCAAACTGATTGGAGGCATCACTATAGAACCCCCAAACTGGATCCTCTCTCCTGATGCTCAGAAAGCCAATCTATGACATCAGGATGGTGGAAGAAAGCGTGTGTTTATTGCAAAATCCAGAGCAAGGAGCCAGGCAGCTGTTGCTTAATTCCCGGGTTCCCGGAGGAGTCAGGGGTGAAGGTTCTTATAGACTGAAACTGGGGCTGAGAGGTACGTGATCAGCTCATGTCCAAGCTTCTGATTGGTCAGTGGTGCTGTGCTCTTTAGGGAATTTATGGCGGCCAGGTGGGCTCCAGTTGGTCTGGGGGTTATGTGCAGGTGACAGCTTGCATTCTGCCCAGACCTGGAGTTCCCCTAGACAAATTGCCCCCAAGACAATGGCAGCCATCAAGGTTCTTATCTGCTGGAGAAATGAATGACTCCTTGAACCTTGTAGGACCAGCCGGATCACTCCCTCAAGTCAGTGAATCCCTTTTGATAAGCGCAGGCAAACACAACTTGGGCTGGCTCCCTGCTTTTCCGCGATGGGGGTTCAGTTCCAGTTTGAGCACCCAAACACAGCCACTCGGTTCAGCAGACCTCGAGTTTGTATGGGGGCGGGTCAGGCACACTGAGGAAGGAGCAGGCCTTGTCCCAGCATTTGTCCCCGGTGTGGGGCAGGGGGTCAGCACGGGCTATCGTGGCTGATGGCCACTGGGAAGCTCCAGGGCTGGAGCCAGGAAACCTCTCCTCTTCTGCCACACTTGTTAGCATTTCTCAAAAGAGAGCTCCGGCAGGAGGGCGGGAGGGCAGAGACCCCCAGGATGCCGGCAGGTGGCACAGCCCACATCCCACTGCCAGCCACGTGGAAGGCCTCGTGAGAGTCCCAGCGCAGCCCCCTGAGCCAATGCAGACCCCCCCACTTCTGGGCCAGCCTGCCTGTGGGGTCTCATGTTTTGGGTCGGTCTGGAAAAAGAGGAGGCAGAGTAGACTGACCTGAGACGCAACTTGAACTTGTCTGAGAGGGGACCAGTGTGGCCTCCACTTTATGTAGGAGGAAACTGAGGCTCTGCGACACCCCCATCTTTGACTGAGCCAGCACAGTGGGGAGACGCAGCCCTGCCTGCCTGGTGTCCTAGGGCAGCTGGCCACTCAGCCTGCTCCTCGCGCCCCTGCGAACGTCCTGCTGATCTCTGCTGGGAAAGGATGGCTTGAGGCAGCCGGGGCGGGGCAGAGGTGCTGAACATCTGTTGGGGGTAGGACCGGGACGGGGGACTTCCAGGGCTTCGATCAGGCAGGGCAGGGACTAGCCAGCATTGAGCACTGCAGGTCTGGGGCCCAGAGAAGAGATGCTGAGGCTCAGACACAGGACTGCAGCCCAGCATCTGCTGTAGGCCATTGGCTTCCTGCTCCAGTTGCAAGAGAGGCCAGGCCTGGTGGTCAACACCCGATTGTCTGGGACTGGACAGGGCTGCCTTGATAGGTACAATGCCTGCACACCTGCCAGGGCCTGTGCCCCCACCCCCAGAGCTGGGCTTCTCAAACACCTCTGTTCCACTCAGATCAGACATACCCTGGGTCCAGCCTGACCATGCCCCACCCATGTCTGTTCTTGGTTCTCTTCAGCCCTGCCCTAGGCCCTCTCCCTAGTGCCCAGAGCCAGGCTCAGCCCTTCCTCCAGCCCACCAGTGGTCCACACGGCCACATACCCCACCTGCCTCAGCCAGGTGCCAAGAAGGAGCGGGGTCCATGGAGATGGGGGACACTGCCCTCCTGGAGACCCACAGAGCAGGATGGTGGCTCACACGGGGCTTACAGGGAAGACACGTGTCCAGAGTGTTTCTGAAGCTTCCTGACCACGGAATCCCTAGGACACCCACAGGACGGTGTGCGTGGGGCACCAGTTTGGGAGAGGCAGGATGTAGGGTGAATATGTGTGGGCTCCAACCTCCGTAGGTTCCCAGCCCGCGACCCCTAGCCTTCCCCAGCACGGGAGGAGACGGCAGAATCATGGCCCCAAGCTGGGCTGTTCCATTCTCTGCCTGCCTCAGAGACCCCCTCCTCAGTGACTCCCTTTTTCCCAGCCACCTCTCTGAAGGTCAGCATTGACACAGACGGTGGATTCGGGGGTCTGTGGACAGCTCTCCTGCCCAGGTGGATCAGTGGGAGCCCAGGGCCACTGCACAGACCACGGCCCCGGCAGCATCAAGTGCAGCTGAGGCGCAGGCCCTGCACCCCTGCTCTGTGGGTCGTGGTGCCTGCTCAGGAGACTTCACTTTCCTTCAGCCGTGTTCCCAAGCGCACTGCTCACACCACACCCTCCGCCTTTATGCTGAAGCTACACGTTTCAGCTCCACATTGTAGAAGCCAGGAGCTCTGCAGTCCCAAAGACAGGCACTCAGGGGCCCCACATGCATCAGAAACAGGCCTTGGGGGGCCAAGGTTGTGCTATCATTGACCCACCAGAGACAGGAGGCCTGCGGTCCCGCCAAGGAAGGGGCAGACCAAGGACACTCCCAGGGACATCTGGGCGCCCCCTGTGGGACATCCTGGGGTCCCTTCTAAGGACACTTCTGGAAAAGCAGGACAACCATGCTTCCTTGTGCTCCCTGGAAGCAGCGCTGGGGCCACAGCAAGGGACCAGAGGTGGTCTCAGCCCTGGGGAGGGGGCTGAGCCAAGATCCACGTTCAGTGGAGAGACATGGGGCACAGCGGGTGTCCAGGCCTGGGCTGGGGGGCTTTGGCGCGTCAGCCTCCGGGAGGGAGGCTGCACACAAGGCCGCAGGCAGGAGAGCGGTGCGGTCAGAGCCACATTCCAGGACCAGGACGCTCTCCAGGGCAGTGCGCGGGAGACCAAGACCGGGGAAGGGCCGGCTGAGGGCTGGGTGGTATGGCTGCAGGGTGTGCTGGGTCCTGGCTCCTGCACATTAAGCAGAAAGACCCTTATTTAGTTCCAAGGTACACCTTAATCTCTTAGTTTGGGCTTTCATTAGGGTCTTTGTAATCCGTGCGGAGTTTGCCCTGTGTTTGAGCTCGGTTCAGGGGGAGCCACAGCCGCACACACAGAGCCACCCACACGGAGCTGGGGAGCCAGAGGCCAGAGGCCAGCTGACATCCAGGGGGTCATGGGAGCAGGGACGATGGAAACAGAGGTACACAAGGCTGGGCTGGAGGCAGGGAGACGGGCCAGGAAGCTCCTGGCACCTGGCTTTGGCCTGGCCCAGTCCTGGCTGTTGCAGCCATCTGGGGAGTGAACCAATGGATAGAGGGTCTCTCTGTCTCTCCATCTCTCTCTCTGTAACTCATCTTTCAAATAAATAACTAAATTTTTTTTTTAATTTCAGATAATGGAACATTTCTGATTTCAGACTTCCGGGTTAGAAATTCTCAAAAAAAAATCCAAAATCTGGGGAGGGTTCAGCCTAACAGCAAAAAGGTTCCCACCCCACACCAGAAAGCCCACGTTCAGGTCCTGGCCCTGGCTCCCGGCTAGCCCACACCCTGGGAAGCAGAGATGGCGGCCCAAAGCCTCGGGTCCTTGCCTCTCAGGAGGGTCCCCCAGGTGGGGTTCCTAGCTCCCGGCTTCGGCCTAGGCCAGCCCTAGTCGTTGTGGGCATTTAGGGAGTGAATCAGCAGATTGGGGTGCTCTCTCTCTCTATTTCTGTGTCAAATAAATAAAATAAGCAAGCAAATAAACAGATACAATCTGAAATTCTAAATACATGTTGTCCCAAGCATTGCGGGTAAGGTATACCCAGCCCATGCAATATTTGCACTGTATCATCTTTCTTTCTTGCTGTTTCCTTAGCATGACTCAGCACTTCTCAGGCACATGTTCCATGCCAGGGCTCATCCAAGCACGAGGGACCCAGGGGACCCTTTCATGACTGCCCTAGGGAAGATTTGTGCAGGCCACATGTTAACAACATGCTGTGCCACGTGTGACAGAGTGTATGTACTGCGAACAGGACAGATGGGAAGGAGAGAAGCCTGGAGGGCTTCCTGGAGGAAGTGACTGAGCTAAAGGTATATACAAAGGTATATATTCCCTGCCAGGCAGGGGAACAGTGTGTGCAGTCTCGGCAGTGTTGCTGGGGCAAGGGTGAGCCGATCTGCAGGGCTGGCCGGGTTTCCTCTATGTGCCCACGCAGAGGGGCAGCTTGGTGAGGCTTTGTCCAGCAGACAGGCAAAGGGTGCCCAGGGGTCGCTGGCCCCCCACAGACCCCAGAGGCCTCGGGGCCTGAGAAGCCCCGATTCCAGCACCGCCCCGAGTTACCTGGCTTTCCTCAGCCACAGCCACACAGAAGTGCAGAGAGTCTGAACTCTTCCAGTTCCAAGTGACAGTAACGCACGTGAAGCTGGCGTGGGGGGGAAGAAAACAGATGAGCTCACGAACGAAGCGAGGCCCTGAGCCCTGCCTCTGCTTTCCTCTCCGTCGACTCTCCCAAACCATGCAGCAGCCCAGGGAGCTCCAGGCTCAGCCCAGCACAAAAGACCCCACCGCAGCTGCTCGCCCAGGCCCCTTGGGTGAGGTGGGGTGATCGTTAGAGAAGAACCAGAGTGCTGCCGTCAGAGGAGGCATCCTGGGCAGCAGACCACACACAGGTGCCCTCCACTGCCCCAGCCCCTCCCCCAGGCAGACAGAATACCCAGACTCCTGGGCCCAGGACAGACTGTTTTTCTGCCGGCCCCAGAGGAAATGCTATTCCATATGTAACCTTTGCCTGCCTCTCTCTCTCTCTCTCTCTCTCTCTCTCTCTCTCTCTCTCATTCCAGGGACCCCTGGGGCTGGATGGCAAGCCTGTAAGTGATGAAGAGCAGTTCTAGGTGGGCCTGGGTGGGGGTGGGTCTTGGGGAGCCATGGGAAGAGGCCGCTGGGAACTCGATTTGGTACAGGGAGAAGCCGGTGGGTTATCAAACTTGAATTCAAATCCAGCGGCAGCACCAGCCGACCATGTGGCCATGGGGAGGACCCTCGAATGCACACACATCCCCCACCACAGGGGTGGGGGTCCACGGAGAGCTGTGGGTGGCTCAGTCTCTGGTGTCTGGTCAGCCCTCAGATCATGTGAGCCTTTCCCATGCAGTCTCCATTTCTGTGGCAGATGTCAGACCGAGGAGTTTTCAACACCTGAGTCAGGAGCTTATGGTCCACGGGCATCCTCAACGGATGAACGAGATGCCCAGGGAGGCATCAACCCAATTAAATAAATAGCTGGATGTGGATGGATGGACGAATAGATGGGTGTGAGTGGGTGGTGGAAGGGAGGGAGAGAGGGAGGGAGGGAAAGAGTTGCATAGATGGGTGGATGTTGGTGTGGATGGATGGCGTCCATCCAAGGATGTGTGAGTGGAACCTAGACTCCCCTTGAAGGAGAGAATTCTGGGGACAGGGTCTCTGTGCACTGCCTGCAGATGACCGGCTTGGGCACAGGGAGAAGATAAGCAGCGAGGGGCTGTGCTCTGTGGGAGGAGTGACTTCCCTCCGAGGGGATGCCAGTGGGCACTTGTCCCAAGTCCCCATCCCCTCCTACTGAGGAGCAAGGGCAGCACTCAGTCAAGGCTGAGGGGCTTGGGTGTCACTCTGCACTCAGCCGCCCGCCGCTCCTGCCATCCAAGCCAACTTTGCCCTCCTCGCTCACGTCTATTCTTTCTCCACTTTCCTTTTCAGGGACTTCCAGGCCCCAAAGGGGAAAAGGTAAGTGATGCTGATGGGGGAACCCTGCCACTAGCCCCCGTCCTGGAGTGGGGCCTCAGTTGCCCCATCTGTAAAGCAGGCTCAGTAGTGCCTACTTCCTAAGCCAGTGGCCAGGCTTGTGTCTGACACGCTTGTGTCTGAATGAGTTCTCCAGGCACCAAAGCATAAGAAGACTCCAAGGCACAGGGTACTGGGAATGACTGCTTCCCAAATGCTGAGTCATAGAAAGCAGGTGCCAGGGAGCATGGGGACTGGAACGATGACTGCTGGGGGCCGACGCCCCTCGTGAGAAAGGCTTCCCTGGCGTCTGGCACCGGAAGTCGTGGGCAGCCCCCTGGAGGACTTTGCAAGGGCGCAGAGAGACCTGTGTGTCCCCCAGTGGAGTCAGGGGACAGGGGCCCAGAGCTGACCTCGGAATGGCAGGGCCAGCTGCGGCCTCCGGGGTGTGGCTGGGCCACCCCCTCACCTCCTCCCAACCTGGAATTTGGAAATGGGGATACGAGAACTGCAGAGGGGGACCCCGCTGTGATGGGAAGGTGCAGGGTTTTGTGCTCAGAGCCTCATCTTTGCCTTCGGGCTCCACCACGTGGTTCCGGGCAAGTCGGTGTGGCTCTGTGGGCCTCAATTTCCCCATCTGTAAGTTAAAAGCAACCTCACAGAGCGGGGGCAGAGTACACGAGGTCGCAGCAGGAAAGCTCTCCCGATTACCTTCCTGCCATCCTGGCTGTCACAGAATCCATTCAAGCCAGGGCTTTGAGACAGGACAAGCTAGTGTCCTGATCTATTGCAAAATGCAAAGCCTGTGGCTTCAGGCGTGGCCTAGAACAAGTTATTGTCACTCCGCACTGCTGCAAGACCCAAGGGGAGCAGCTGTCTGCCTCACACGCGGCTGCCTGCTGGCGAGGGACAAGGGGCCCTCCGTCTCAAGCCTGGATCTGTGGGCAGTATGGCCTTGGGCAGGTCACTTGGCCTCTTTGCCTCTCTGTTTCCTGGAAATGAAGGTAAAATCGAGGCTCCTGTCGTTTTTGTTGGAATGAAGTCGGGCCATGTATGTGAGCACTGAACAGAGCAGTGCTCTATAGCAGGTGTAAGAGAGGTGGACAGCGTGGTAATGATCTCCTCCGTGTTTTTCGTTCCTAGGGAGTACCAGGAGACTTCGGCCCCCGGGTAAGGATGGAGTGTTTCTCCCTCCCCTGCCTGCCGTGTGTGTTCTGGGCAGTTCTGAGAAATGTATCTCGCAGGTCCTCTGCATCCCAGCTCCCCTTACAGGGGTCCTGGGAAGGGGCTTTGTGCCCAGGCAGGGTTGGGCCAGCTGTGCAGCTTCACGGAGCGCACATCTCACAGTGGTTCTGAGCAGGAGCTGGGAGCAGGCCAGGCTGAGTCCCCAAGGACAGAGCCCTTTCGTGCTAGGCGTAGGATAGGAGGGCAGGGCAGGGCCACACAGAACTGGTAAGACTTCTGTGGGGCTGAAAAAGGTCCTTCCAGGTCTGCTTGCTTTTGGGGAGGGGGCGGTGGGGGTCTGTGGAAGCTGCTCTTCCAATCAGATGCTTGCTCCTCGAAAGACTGGAATCCCCCAGGCCAGGGGGCGTGAAAGAACCCTTCACCTTCTTCATGGCTGTCCTGGGATTTGTGATAATGGCTCATGGTCCCTGGCTTGCTAGGGTCTCTGGCATGGTTGCAAGCCAAGGCTCCAGACCCAGAGACTCAGGCGACAGGGTCCTCATGCATGGCCCCGGTCGCCCACAGGCAGCTCCCCAAGTGCCTGGGCTTCTCCCAGCAGGGCTGGTGGGTTCCTCAAGGCATTTTCAAAGCAGCAGTGCAAGGGGCAGGAAGTGGAGCTGCTGGGCACATGCAGAGACAGCATCACTGTGCATGCTTTTGCTCTATCAATCACAGGCCAGCCTGCAGCCAGAGCAGGAGCAGAGCAGCCCCCAGCTCTTGGGGGTGGGGCAGCGAGGTCAGGGGAGCTAGCATGAGGCCATCCCTGGAGAAGGTGGCCTGCACAACCAGTGGCCTGTCACCTATATGGGGGCTAGGTTTAGTGACTTTGCCTCCAGAAACAGCCCTGGGGTTTTTTTAATCACCCACCTGCCTTACTGACCGCTTCACCTGTTTGCTGACCAGATGGTTTTCCCATGGCTCAGTCCAGGCTTTATAAACAGAGACCACCATGCATACAATCTCCGTGTCCTCAAGGTAGACTGGACAGGCGGACGGTCTGGGCCTGCTGGTTTGCTGTGTTCCCCACTGATTCACCCCATGTCGCCAGGGTCACACCTCAGTCAGCCAGGCCCTGAGAGAGGAGGGACAGGCAGGCCAGGAAGAGCCTAAGCACCTCTCCCAGGCCCTGCGCCGGGGTGGAGTCCAGGCCCGTGGTTCCCGAGCCGGAGCCCCTGAGCCGTGAAAGGAGCAGTGAGGGCCAGGAGGGGTCTTCAGATTCCTCCTGATTCAGCACAAAGTGAAGTGGGGACTGCTCACCACCCACAGCCCAGAGACCCCACCATGCCACCCATGGCCTTTCCTTCTGCCTGGAGCTACAACCTGGCAGCCAGGACCCCGGCCACACCAGACCAGTGGGGAGATCCGAGTGGTGGGCACTGAGAGCCTCCGTTAACTTTTTTATTTGGCTGCTGTGTTCAGTGCAGTTTGTCAGAGACGAGCTCTTTCATATCGGGAGGGGGGTCCATGGCAGTCGGAGGAGGCTCAGCTTTTCCTGGCCCTGAACCTGGGTGAATAATAACCCTCTCTGACTCCCGAGCCCCCGACCTCTTCATCTGGAAAATGGGCAGTAGCAGAGCCCCGGCCAGCTGGCCAGAGGTCTGAGTAAGATCATCCCTAGGGGGTCCTCACGTACTCTATGCTGGGTCCACAAAAGGCTTCCTCCTTTCTTGGTTACAAAATAGGCAGCAACTGGCATTATAACCCGCCACATGCCCATGCTAGGGCAGCTGGGAGGTGCCCTTCCCTCCCTGCAGGTGGGGCCCCAAGGTGAGGGCTCTGGCAGCCTGAGGTCTAACCTGGCACTAACACCAGGGTCCAAGTCTTGGGTGTTGCACGAGAGAGCATGTGTGACCCTGCCTGGCTTTTCTATAATTGTTTTGAGGTCATTGTAGACTCAAGTGCAGCTTTTTTCCCCCAAAGAAACCTTTTATTTAAGGAATACAAGCTTCATGCATTTCATAAGTACAACTTTAGGAATATAGTGAGTCTTCCCACCATACCCACCCTCTCACCCACATTCCCAACCCTCCTCCTCTTCCCTCTCCCATTCCCAGTCCCATTCTCCACTAAGATCCATTTTCAATTAACTTTATACCCAGAAGACCAACTCTATACTAAGTAAAGAGTCAACAATTTGCATTAAAAAAAACCTGTTCCTCAACAGTTGCGACAAGGGTTGTTCAAAGTCATTGCATCTCAAAGTTAATTTCACTTCTTTTTTTTTTTTTTGAGAAATTTACTTAACTTTAAGGAAGCACCCAAAAATGATAATCTTTTGAAAGCACTTAGACATAACTATAACTTATGAGGCATAAGAATATCCTCCACTTACCCTGTCGGAATAAGATCGAAGTCAGCGAATTCAACAGGCTTCCATAGCCTTGGCAACTCATGACTAGAGCCTAGGGAGATTACTGACACCATAAACAAGAGTGTCAAATTGTTAAATCAACAACAGGAGTCACTGTGTACTTACTTTTCATGTGGGATCTGTCCTTAATGTGTTGTCCAATGTGAAGTAATGCTATAACTAGTACTGAAACAGTATTTTACACTTTATGTTCTGTGTGGGTGCAAACTGATGAAATCTTTACTTAATATATACTAAATCAATCTTCTGTATATAAAGATAATTGAAAATGAATCTTGATGTGAATGGAATGGGAGAGGGAGCGGGAGATGGGAGGGGTACGAGTGGGAGGGAAATTATAGGGGGGGGGCGAAGCCATTGTATTCCATAAACTGTACTTTGGAAATTTAGAATAGCCTCCACTTAATACATTAAAAGAAAATAAGTCCTTGAGAATAAGTTTTATCATTAATTAAGGAAGCACCTAAGAAAACAAGCAGTGGAGTTGGACACTTAGGCATAACTAAAACTTATGAGACGTAAGAATATCCTCCACTAAATACACTAAAATGAAATAAATCTTTGAGAACAAGTTTTACAGTTAACTCTCATAACACAACTCTTTGAAGACAGAGGTCCTGCATTGGGAGTTACTGTACAGTGACTCCTGTTGTTAATTTAACAATTAACACCTTTATGTATGATGTTAGTGACCACCCGAGGCTCTTGACATGAGCTGCCTAGGCTATGGAAGCCGTTTGAATCCACAGCCTCCGTCAGTATTTAGACCATAAGCAAAGTGGGAAGTTCTCGCCTCCCTTCAGAGAAAAGTATCTCCTTCTGAAATGCAGTTTTAATAAACAACACCCCATGGGCCCTTTATCCAGTGCCCCACAACGGTGACATCTTGCATCGCCGTAACACACTCTCACAACCAGGAAATCCACAGTGATACAACCTCAGATTATCCCAGTTTCCACACAGGGTATGCTGTATGTTCTGTGCAGTAGTGTCATGTGTGTACATTGGTGTGAGCACCTCGCAAAGACCTCTCATTTCAGCTGGGGTCGCCTCCCCGCTTCCCGTGCCTGACCCCAGCCACACTGTTCTCTGTCTCTCTGGTTTCTGCCACTCAGGGTTGTGTGCTGTGACTCCAGCATGTACCCTGTGAGCCTGGGTTTTTTTCACCCGGTGTGATCCCTTGGGGCGTCTGCAAGCCGCTGCGTGCATCCGTGCTTTTCCCTCCTCTGTTTCTTGCTGGGGAGTGGTCCGAGCCAGGAGTGCCCCGTCCCTGGCTAACAGTCACCACTGGGAGGGCTTTCAGGTGGTTTCCAGTCTGGGGCTGTTACGGATGAAGCAGCTGTAAATGTTCAAGCGCAGGTTTTTGTGTGAACTGAAGTTTTCGTTTCTCTGAGATAAGGGCCTGGAGTGTGGAGCTGACCAGGTGGGGAGGTCTCTCAGGAGATGCCCAGTCTCCTTTCCAGAAAAAAGGGGGCTGGCCTGCGCCATCTCTCACCTAAACACCGTGTCGGCTTCAGACACTGAGAGTAGGCGCGTTCCTTGGAGGGTGGGCCTCTTCTGCCAAGTTGTAGGGACCACCAAAAAGAGGTCAGGGGCTCAGCCACAAAGCCCTTCCCTCCGGGCCTGCCCCAAGGGCTGGGGAGGGAGAAGGCCTAGGGGAGTGTGTCTCTGGAGGCTGGGATGCCTGCCCCTCACCCTCAGGGTCATGCCAAGCCTCATGTCTTTCAGGGAGACCAAGGGCAAGACGGAGCTGCTGGGCCTCCAGGACCCCCAGGGCCCCCTGGAGCCAGGGGCCCGCCTGGCGACACTGGGAAAGATGGCCCCAGGGGGGCTCAAGGTCCAGCGGTAAGAGAAGGCATGCAGTTGGACTCCCAAGACCTACTCCTGTGCTGACCCAAACCCCAAACTCTGATCCCAGAACCAGTCCCCAAGCCCAGCCCTGTCCCCCACTAGAGACCCAACACCAACTTTAACCCAACCCAGACACTGAACCTGGGCCCAACCTAAACTCCCAGCCCCAACCCCAATTCAGATCCTGTCCCTGACACTAGACCCAAACCCAACCCTAACCCTAACCCCAGACGGACAGACCTTGGCCCCCACCAAACCTGAAATCTAACATCAACTAGGTCCCTAAGCCAAATCAAAACCTTGACTTCCAAGTTCACACTGCGAATTCAGGCTTATCCAGACTCTAACCGTGACCCTGACTCAAAACCCAACTTTAACCCCAAGTAGACCTTCAGACGCCAACCCTGTCCTGCGTTGCAGTCTCAGTCCCAATCCTGACCCTGACACGCACGCAGGCTCTCTCTTTAGCTCTTGACCAAGCCCTGATCCTCTCCATGCGCTTTCCTCTCCTTCCCCCACACTAACTACTTAGCCTCAGTCATCCCCCCAAATTCCTAACCCAAACCTGGAGGCCAGGCCCCCTTCCCTTGCCCCTGTCCCTGATCCAGGCCCTCCAACTTGTCGAGGCAGCACACTCCCCCCAGGGCCCCGCTGAGGGCAGCCACTCAGAGGGCTCCTGCACTCCTGGTCACCCTGGATGAGTAACTTCGATCCTCAGCTCTCCCACCTGGGCAGCAGGAACAGCAGGAGCCACTTCTCAGGGTCTGGTGGGGATGCAGAAGCTCCTGCACTCGGAGCATGTGATACCTCGCATCCTCATGGCCGTCCTCTCTGCCTCCTCAGGGTCCCAAAGGAGAGCCCGGCCAGGACGGCGACACGGTCAGTACCCAGGGCACCTCCCAGGCTTCCCCCACACACCCCAACCCCGGGATGATGTGTGCACATGTGTGTGTGTGTGTGCGTGCCCACACATGGTGCTATGCATGTGTGTACACATGTGTTCCTGTGCTGGCCGCCGGTGGGGAATGGGTGGCCAAGGCCCCCACTGGGCTGAATGCTAACGGCCACACAGCCTTGAGTGGGAGCCTGCAGCCCACTGATCACCGCTTGAGCCCTCATGCGGCCGCTGTCCTATGCCTAGAGCTCAGCAGCCCAGCCGGGTTCTAGCAACAGCCGGCTGCTCCTCTCTGGGGCATCACCCTTTATAAAACCAGGCTGATAAGGAAGACAGGCCCAGCAGCAGCCTCCAGTGTGAAGTTGGACACCTTCTCTTCTCTCATTCCAGGGCCCCAAAGGACCCCCAGGGCCCAAGGTGAGTGCCTCCCACTCCTTGCCCCCTCCCCCAGGCCTGGGGTGCTAGGTACTCCCTGCCAGTAAAACCTGGGCAGCAGAGTCGGGGACCAATGCCGTGGGCAAATTACAGCATCTCTCCGGGCCTGGCTCCGGATTCACCTCCCTCTTGGGCAGCACCAGGCCCTCCCTGCAGGAGCTGGAGCCCCCGGTTCCAGGAGGAGGAGGAGAAGGGGAGCTCCTGGGAAGAGAGCTGCACTGGTGGGCTTGCTGGGAGCGAGGGGTTTCCAGGGCATTCTCACACCCTTCACCTCTCAGCTCCCTGCTTGCAAGACCAGTGACTTGCCAGGAAGGGATTTCCAGCCAGATACCCTCCCCACAACTGTGGGCACCTTCTGAGGGGTTCAGGGGTCTCTGGGTCACAGAAGCCACTTCCATCAGAGGAGCAAAGGGCCTGATGTCTGTGTTCCAATGGCTCTGGCTTCTCCTTGCACCCCCGCTGTCCCCCCGCCCAGGGTGAGCCCAAGGAGGAAAATGAGAGGCCTATGGAATTACTTCTTAGCCAGGGTCAGGAAGTGACCAGAGAAAAAGGCTAGGGTGGGGACAGGGCCCCACTGCGGGGCCGGGGGCTACAGCTCTCAAAGCATGGACCTGGGGACAACAGCATCACAGTGGGGCTTGTGAGAAATGTGGGTTCCAGGGCCCACCTGGGGCCCATGGACTCGGAGACTCTGGACGCGGAGCCTGGGGGCCAGCTGAAGGAGCCCCTGGGGGCACTGGCAAGTGTTCAAGCTTGGGAACCAGCCACTAAGCTGGTGATGGATGGCTCCCCACCACTCCCCTGGCCAGGCAGCTCCCCATGCAGTACCCAGCAACACTGCCCATCCCCCGCCGCCCCTCTCGGGCCAGCTGCTGCAGCAAGTCCCCTGCCCGTCCCTCTCCATCACGTGTCCTCTCGAATTGCCTTCTGAGACGTGCTGCCCCTTGCTTATTTGAATATCTCTTGTCCCTTAGCCGCCTCTGACTCCATTGAGCAGGGAACCTCGCCTGTCTGGCCCCCAGCAGCTGCTCACAATGTCTTCTGAATGAATGAACTCTCCTTTGTCTGTCCAACCATTCTGTCTGCACACACCTGCTGAGGCCTGCTCTCAGGGCTGATGCTGAGCTGGTGGGAGCAGGGGACAGAGGTGGCTCCGACCCACGGTGCCCAGTGCTGCGTGGAGCCAGGGGCCTGGTGTGCTGGGGAGTGCTGAGGCAGGAGGGGCCACGTCCACCTGTGGGTCTCCTGCTGTGTCCAGCTGTGAGGGCTGCAGCTCACCTGTTCTGTTTTTAGGGGGATGATGGGACACCGAGCCAACCTGGGCTCCCTGGACCCCCAGGGCCCAAGGTAGGTACATGCACCTCTGCCAGAGAGCCCTCTGCCCCTACTCTCACTGCCTGCCCAGTGTAGCCCCTCTCAAGCCCTTCTCCCTCATGGGGAGGTAGTGGGGCAAGTATGGACTGACGCCTGGGGCAGGCAGCGGGAAGCAGCAGGAGGGCATGGGCTCCACAGGCCTCAAGTCCAATCCCAGGTGGCCCCACTCTCCACCCTGTCCCCTAACGAGGAACTGCATGATGTCATCCTCACACCTGGCCCCATCCCCCACCCCTGGTGACAGCCACAAGATCCGGACAGCATTGCTCCCAGATGTCCATGGAGCTCTGGATCTGCCCAACTGCAAGACCCAGACCGGAAGGTGGAGCCCTGGCCCTCAGGCCCCAGGGCCGGGGAGAGTCCAGACGCCCCCGCCCCCCTCCTTCGGTGGGCTCAAGTGCGTGCAGCAGGAGGCCCCAGCCTGCCCGGCGCTGCCTCTCACGGCGAGTGTTTCCATTTCAGGGTGAGCCAGGGAGCATGGGGCCCCGAGGAGAAAGCGGCGTGGACGGTGCCCCGGGACCAAAGGTGACATCAGGGTGCCTGGCCCAGTCAGCCCCTCCCCCAGGCGGCGGGGGAGCCGTCATTTCCCTTTGAATTTGCACTTTTGGGTGGGGACTGCCTGGGCCGGGATCTTCCTGGACTCACAGTGGGAGGCTGGTGAGGATGGGTGGCGGTGAGCCTGGGTGGATGATGGGGCCTGTGCTCTCTGGCCACCTCTGCTGGGCCTCCATGGGGAAGGGGAGGTCAGTGATCTCCCAGGTCCTCCCCCTGGCCAGCTGGTCCTCAACAGTCATCCTCAGATCAGGAGGGCTCCAACTGTGGGATTGCCGGTGAATCTGCAGCCTTGTGTCTCCACAGGGGGAGCCTGGCCATGGAGGTGCAGACGGAGCCACGGGGCCCCGGGTAAGCAGCCTCTCAGGCCACTGCTAGGAGACCCCAGTGGCCTGGTAGCTGCAGAAACCCCTGTCCCTACAGAGTCCCCAGCGTTCTCTCTGTCCCTAGAGATGTGATGCCCTTCTAGACTTTTCTTTGTATACGCAAACACAGATCCTCCATGGGTCATGTGGCATGACTCCACCCATGGTGGGCGGGCCACAGCCCCACATCCTGGTTTCTGCTGTCACTGGGAAGCCAGCTACCCCAGCCAGGCCCAGGTTTTGTGTGACCAGCCCCTGTCCGTATACCTTTAGGGACATCCAAGGTCCTGTCCTCAGCTCTGTCACCTGAAGCAGTCACATCTCCCCATACCCCCAGAAGCTGGCTTCTTCCTCCAAAAAAAATGCACCTGAGCCCCCCTGCCTGGCCGTACAGGTGGCGGGGGGTCAGACTGTGTCCTGGCTACGGCAGTTGTGTGTACCCTGGACAGTTGTGTGTGTGCCACCACTGTGGGGGCAGCCAAGGCCCAGGCCTGGGTCTCTGCCCTCTGCACTGAGGCTGGTCCGGGCCTGAGCCAAAGTGTGCGTGACCTGTACGGTTCTCCCAGCCAGAGCAGCCTGGTGAGGAAGGGAGGCTCAGAAGGGAGGGCCTAGACAGCAGCCATGTGCTTGCCTGCAACCGCAGACACAGCAGGTGGGGGGAGAGAGCATGTGGGATGTGCCGCCCCGCCCACAGTCAGGAGACAGGGAGACCGAGTCTTTCACAGAGTTGGGAAGAGTCTGGGGAGTTTTGCTTGTTTGTGTTATGTCTTTGGCAACATTTAGAAATCTGAAGGACTTGGCGTCTTCCCTTGCAACAGCGGGGATCAGGCTGTGGGCTCGAATGGCCACATTGAGGGACCACGTGAAGGGAAACCACAGCCGCCCCGGGAGGGGGCGGGTAGCACATTCCTCCGCCTGCGCTCTCCCTGTGGCGGGAGGCAGGGATGGCCAGCCCCCACTCCCTCGCAGCCCCACCCTGAGGCTCACCCTTCTGCTGCCCAGGGTCCACCAGGCCTCAAGGGCGAGCAGGGGGACACTGTGGTGATCGACTATGACGGCAGGATCCTGGATTCCCTCAAGGTAGTGTAACCCAGGGGGCAGGGGGTCCCCACAACTTCCTGTGCTAAACCTGCACTTCCCTACATGAGGGGCCGGGAGGGGATTCACACAAAGACCACAGGTGCATTACACACCTGATGGGGACGTCCGTGCTCAGACCCACGTGATGCTGAGAGAGCTGCTGTGAATCGGCTCATGTGACCCTGAGCTCCCCCTGCAGGGGCAGGAGGCCAAGCGTCTCCCTCGGGAGCCCCAGCAGGGGGCTGTGGGAGGGTGAGGAAGCAGCAAGGCCTCTTCCTGAGTGTGTGCAGCTTCTAAGCCTGCCCAGTGACCGGCGCACTTGGGACCCACCAGCAAAGGAGGTGCCAGCTGCTCAGGGGTCCGGGGAGGCGCATCAGTTTCCAGACTGGCCTTGGCACTGAAGCTCTTGAGGCACGGGCCTCAGGGGCGCACAAGCTGCTGGTGACTACAGCACGCCCGGGCCGCATGGCGGGGATGACCCTGACCGCGTACACATGCAGGCTGGCAGAGAGCCACAGGGCATGCAGGGAGGCGGGGCTTGGCTCTTGGATGCCAGCCAAGGATGATGACTCGATGAGATGGGCAGTGGGCAGCCGCAGTCAGTTCCTGAGCAAGGGGACGACGTTCAAAAGCCACTGAGGAACAGTGTAGAAGGTGAAGGCAGAGGATGCAGTAGAGGCCAGGGGGCGGGAGCCCACCAGGGAGGGGGGCGCTGGGCCCCATCCTAGAGGAGGGTGGGCAGCATGAAAGAAATAAAGCCAACAGGAGGGCAGCAGGGTGGGGGCCGGGCTGGGTATGCCTGTGGGAGGGGCCTGAGTTTGGGAGCAGACCCCAGCCCCACCTGTGAGGGCCAGGACCTGCCCAGTACTGGCAGGCAGCAGGCAACGGAGCCAAAAGAGCAGAAAGCTCGCAGGACAGACAGGGAGGGCAGTGCCAGCCACGGTTGGCAAGGCTGCTCTTGACTGGCCTTGGGTGCCAGCAGGGATCTAAGCTCCAGCAGGCAGCAGGGAGCCGTGGCAGGGTGTTGAGCAGGAGGGTGTTCTGAGGGAATCTGTGTTTGAGGGAGGCTGGTTCTGAGGGCACAGGGACTCTGGGCCTCCAGGCCGTGGACAAAACCAGGTGCCCCTCCCTGGACTCCCTCAAGAGTAGTGAGGCCCACCCCAACTGTGTGGGAAGTAGCTCTGGGGACCCTGAACCCTGCTGCAGCCCAGCTTTCCAGGGACTGGGCCCCTGGGCGAGGGGCTGGGTGGCAGTGAGGGGAGGAGGCCCTGCCTGGCCACTGACCAGCCTCACTTCCGCACACAGGGTCCTCCCGGGCCACAGGGGCCCCCGGGGCCACCAGGGATGCCCGGAGCCAAGGTTAGTGCAGACGCATCTGCATGGTCCCCCACACCCCTTTCTCCAGGGCCCACCTCCCCTCCCCTCTCCGCCATGGGACCTTCTGCTTCTGCCATGGTGGTCCTGGCCTGGCTGCTGGGGATTCAGAGAAAGGGATCTCCCTTTTCTAACCAAGCTAAATCCCTGGAAAGTCTCTCTCACACATTTAAAAGCTGTGATATCACAGTGCCCCCCACCCAGATGCCCGGAGCTATGCCTGTGGCTTGCGCCTTTTGTTTTCAGGCACCCATTTTTCCCAGGGGAAGCAGCCCCAGACTTGGAAGTCAGAAAAGAGCTGGGCCTGGCTCTGTTGTTCCTGAGCTCTGGGGCCTGGAGCAAATCATTGAGCTTCCTGAGCCTCAACTTCCAGCTATGGACGACAGCCATGGGCCACATCACCCCCGCCACCCAGGAAGGGCAATGAAGGAGAGGAGGCTGTGGGTGCCTGTCATGGCCCTGGGCCCCCAGAGAAGCCCAGCCGCAGAGCTGTGGGTGTTGCCAGCCAGGGAGACCCAGTGGAAGCCGCCCCTTGGGTCTTGAACCCCTGCGGGGCCCAGGGAGGCACAACCGCTCTCACCCTCTGTTCCCTTCCAGGGCGAGCTTGGCCTGCCCGGTGCTCCTGGAATCGATGGAGAGAAGGTCTCTGGGCTTTTCAGCTCCTTGGCAACTCGGGGCCTGGTGTCAGACTGCGTGTGTGTGCACATCACATGTGTGTGTCTGTGTGCATGTGTGCCCCTATGTGACCATCACCCTTGGCATCTCTGGGTGTATTTTCACTGCTGGTCCCCAGGGTGGCAACTGGGGTATGCATCCTTGGCTGAGAGAGAGAAGGCAGCGGTTGGAAGGGTATTTGGGGGTTGAGATGTGGCAAAGAGTCGCCACTATGGATGCCCTGAGGGGCTGTCCCTGTCTCCTCTGCCCCCCACCCCGAGCCACCTGCACCCCAGTGTGCAGTGAGGCATGGATGGGATGCTCCCTCCCTGTCTCTCTCCAGCACCCCCACTGCATTCAGCCAAAACGCCCAGCTCCTTGGCCTGGAGGCAAGACCCACAAGGAGAAAGCAGGGGTCTGGCCCTGCCTGGATGAAGTGTTGGGGATCCTCCAGGGTGGGAGAAGGGGGAAGGCCTGCTGGGTCCTACTGACCTCTTGTTTCTGTGGCTTTCAGGGTCCGAAAGGATCGAAAGGAGACCCAGGAGAGCCCGGGCCAGCTGGACCCAAGGGAGAGGCAGGAGAGATGGGTTTGTCTGGCCTCCCGGTATGTGCCTGGGCAGGACCCCACCCTGCTTACCTGCTATTCTGAGGGTCCCAAGGTGAAGGTGTGCCCATCACAGGGTGGCTTCTGGGGGCTGTGAGGAGAGCAGGGAAGCAGCCGGGTACGCCCCAGCCGGCCTTGCAATCCCTGCACCCAGCCCAGCCCTGGCCCTTGAAACCATTAAGGGAGTGAACCAGCAGATGGAAGATCTTTGTCTCTCTGTCTCTCTCTGTAACTCTGTCTTTCAAATAAATAAATCTTAAAGAAAAAAAAGCAGTCACTGACACCCCTCACCTCACAGCCACGTTCACCCCTGAGGACCCCTTGGCTGGAAGGGGCACTGGGGTTTGAACCCTGGACTTTGTACTGCAGGAAAACAATCTGTGTTCCGGTAGTGGGCTCCCTAAACAGTCCACCTGCCACGCGGGGCCTGCCGCTGACTTAGGGGACACTTTCTAGGTTGCAAAGGCCAGCTTACCTGGCCAGCTCGTGGGGGCAGTGGCCCAGCCCCGGGGTGGTGGTTTTGGTGATGGGGGAAGGACTCACAGGCCCCCCTCTCCTGCAGGGCGCTGATGGCCTCAAGGGGGAGAAGGGAGAGTCAGCTTCCGACAGTCTCCAGGAGAGCCTGGTAAGGGCCCCCAACACCAGCCCAGGCCAAGTGAGGGCCCCGAGGATTGCGACACACAGGCCACTGGCCTGATGCAATGCAGGGCCGTGGGAGGGGGAGGGAGAGAGCCCAGGGAGTGTGTCAGCCAACTCAGCTCATCTGAGAACCAAAAGGCTGGGCCCCTCCCGTGCTGTGCCTTCCTGGGACAGGTAGTAGCCTCCCCAGGAGCACTCCATGCAGGCCGGGAGGGATGGTGGCACAGTGAGTCACTGACCTGTCTCGGGACCTCCTAGGCCCAGATCATAGTGGAGCCAGGGCCTCCCGGCCCCCCCGGCCCTCCGGGTCCCATGGTAAGGATGTGTGGCTTGAACCAGAGGGTGGTGGGAGGAGGATAAGGGGTCTTGGTGGGGCAAGCAGGGAAGGGCGGCTGAGCCCAGGGCATGGCCCTGCCCTGCACCCAGCGGGACACGTTTCTGATTTGCCTTCTCCCCCTGCAGGGCCTCCAAGGAGTCCAAGGTCCCAAGGTAAGAGGGTGGAAGCTGCCTTGCTAGCTGAAGACACAGCTGGGCAGTTTCAGAAAGCCTTGCCGGGGCACAAGGCAGGGCCCCATGCTTGGTCTGGCCCCAGCCCTCGGTCTCCCAGAGTGAACATCCACTGGTGCCTGGCCCCCCTGACATCCTGGGAGGCAGCGCCCCACCTCCACACTAGGCCCTGTTCTTAACTTCGTCCCTCTGCCAAGATCACAGTCCTTCTTCCCTTCTTCTCCGGCCCCTCCGCCCAGCCCTGCGCCTCCCTGCCCTGTACACCCCCTTCTCCCTGTGCGCATCCGTCTCTCCACTGCCCACAGCCTGAAGCACCAAGGCTCTGATAGGTGGTTGTGCGTTACACAATGTCCGTGTTCTGGGCTTTAACTTAAAGCAGCCGTGGGGAGGGCCCCTTGGCCCGCCTCCTTTCACGCCCCACAGCCCGTTTACCCTGGGAGGAGAGCGCAGCTCTGCCTCCCCAGCTCTGGGGGCAGACAGGGGAGGCAGTGGTGGAATCCTGGATCTGAGTGGGGCAGATCAGGTGGTCCCACCACATGTGCTGCCTCTGGTTCTGTTTTGTCCAAGGCTCTCCCTGAGCAGGTTTAGGGAGAGGCAGCTGCTGTCCAGGGTCCGAGGCTGGGGCTCAGAGACCGGCCCTGCTCCTTCCCAGCTGTGGTGCTGGGCTCTTGGCCTGTCTGTGCAATGGGCGTGACCATAACCCCCTCCCACAATGACTGGAGGGCAGGGCTGGGTAACAGTGCACATCCCCAGCTCCTCCTATTCTACCTGCTGTGGAGTGAACTGAGGCCAGGCCTGCCTCAGCCTAAGCACTGCCCCTCTGCCAAGCTCAGTGTGCCCTGCCGTCTCTCTGACCCTTCCCCTCTCTGCTTCCAGGGATTAGATGGAGCAAAGGGAGAGAAGGGCGCATCTGGCGAGAGAGGCCCCAGCGGGCTGCCTGTGAGTGTCACGAGCCCTGTGTGTCCCTAGAGGTGCTGGTTCCTGTCACTGTCATGCATCTTGACCATGCCTTTTCCACCCAGGGACCTGTTGGCCCACCAGGCCTGATTGGGCTGCCGGGAACCAAAGGAGAGAAGGTAACACCTTATGTGGATACATACATACACCCCCACCCATTGTGACCACCTGCCCATGGTGCCACTCAGCCCTGGGGGCCTGCCCCATGTCCCACTGGGTCCCTGCGCTCAGGGCCAGGGTACAGGCTGCATGGATACCATTCTGACCAGACCTGTGCGGTGGGTCTCCCAGTCTCCAAGTCTGTAGCCAACTCACAGCTGTGCTCCCAGCCCCTCTTCCCCAGTCCTTCTCACCCACTCTGTGTCTCTCCTCAGGGCAGACCCGGGGAGCCAGGACTGGATGTAAGTGTCTCATCATTCACTGTGAGTGACTGGCTCCCTCCCATGTGTACCATCTGCCTCCGTGTTGCTCAAACAGCAGCCTGGCCTGGCTGCCTCAAGGGTGGCCCCTTTCCCAGGGCTGGGGCGACAACTGGCTAGTCCCCTGTGAGTGCAGAGCCCAGAGCAGGTGCTTTATGGATGGAGGATGGATGGATGATGCATTGTGGCAGGCAATGGACGGACGGGCAGTGGACAGACAGCAGTGGATAGATGATGAATGGATGGATGGGTGGATGGATGGATGGATGGATGGCAATCAATGGATGGATGGGTGGATGATCATTGTAGTAGGGAGGTGGGGAATGCAGCAAGGAACCACTTGCAATACCCTAGTAAGAGCTGATGATGCTTCCGCCAGGACAGTATTGTGGGAAGGAGAGAAACAGAATGATTAGCCCAGTGTTGGCTGTGTCAAGTCTTTTTTGGTAGCTTAGGTAGAAAACATTTAAGCCAGTTTAAAGTGGCTTAAAATTACTTCTACCTGAAAAGTCTGCAGGTTCAGCACGTAGCTCCAGGGCACACCTGTGTCAATACAACGCAGCCTTTGACCTCTCCTGACTCTGCTTCCCTGTGTGGGATTCATGCCTAAGCTCCACGTGGAGCTGGGGCAGAGCTAGCAGCCCAGGCACAAATCAAGAAGGATAAGTATTTGCCTCCCTCTGCTGTTCCAGAGCACGTCTCATTGGCCTCAGTTGAGCCTGAACCTGCACAGAAGCTTGGCCATAGAAATGCAGTGCTCTGATTGGCCAGGGCTGATCACGTGCTTGGCCCTAGGGCTGTGGTTGGAGTCAGTGGATCGCGAGAAGTGAGGGTGGTTCTGGGGGAGATCGGGCAGCTGCTGAGAGGGGCACAGTGGCCAGAGGCAGGTTGTTCCCACTAGACGTTAGGGAGAGAGTTTGCCTTGGAGAGCGACCGGCGATGAGGAGGAACCCAGCCAGGGTTTCTGGCTTCAGGGGCTATTGGTGAAAAGGAACAGCAGAGACAGTGCTGCACCCAGCTCAGGCCCTGGACCCAGGGAGGCAGCTGGGGGTGGAGCTGAAGACTCCCGCTGCCTTCTCGGTCAGACACCTGGCTCCCAGTGGCTTCTCAAAGCCACACCCACCTGATCCACCTGGCACACCCCAGGTCTCCCTCCACTCCGCCAGGCCTAACTGAAGCAGGGACCCTGCCAACGGCTTCCTTTGATTGCACCGCCCCCCTTGATAGAAGAGCCCTTTCCCCAGGAAGCGCCTGCCCATCACGGAGCACTCCACTGCCCGTCCCACTCCACGTGAGGGAGGGGGCACCTCAAGTCCATTCCTCCATCCCTGGCATCCGGCCCACAGCCCTGTTCCTAGTAGATGCTGAGTTGCATTGGTTCAGTGGTTGCACAGACGGACAGATGGACAGGTGGGTGTATAAGAAATTGAGCTGAGAAGTGGGCATTTGACCTAGCAGTTAAGATACCTGTGTCCTGTATCAGAGTACTGGGGTTCCATTCCTGGCTCCAGCATCCTGCTCATGCAGACCCTGGGAGGCAGTGGTGTAGAGTCCCTGCCTCCCTCCCGGGAGACCTGGAGTGTCGTCCCAGCTCCTGCTCCAGCCCTGGCACAACCCTGTCCACTGCGGGCATTTGGGAAGTAAATCAACAAATAGGACCTACTGTCTGTCTGTCTGTCTGCCACTCAAATAAACAATAAATTGATCTGAGAGTAGAGAACGGAAGTCACCATTTCTCAGTCATAAACACCCAAGGCTTCCTAGGTCTCTGCCCCCAGCCAAGCCTGGGCCACTGCCACCTGCACATGTTGGTGGCAGGAGAAAAAGTCGCTTGCTGACAGCTGCGCCTGAGGACTTGCACCCAGAGACACTGACTGCTCTGGAGGAAGCAGGGCTGGTGCCCTGGTGCCCGGTTCCCAGCAGCTGGGGCCTGGCCAGTCTGTGCCAGGAGCAGAGGGAGGAGGGGCAGAGACGGATCCACAGCGGCAGGCTGCCCCCGAGTCTCAGGCTCACGTTGAATTTGAATCCCTTGTCAGGGCTTCCCTGGACCCCGAGGAGAAAAAGGTGACCGGAGCGAGCGTGGAGAGAAGGTGAGGGCAGTGGGGGGAAGCAGGGGGCGGCAGGCAAGGGTTGGGGAGGGGCAGGGGTCCACTAAGATCGAAGCTGTGGGCATCATGGCCACGGACCTGGCCAACGCCGCCATCCTACCATCTCCCTTCTGTGCAGGGGGAGCGTGGGATCCCCGGCCGGAAGGGAGTGAAGGGCCAGAAAGGCGAACCCGGACCGCCAGGCCTGGACCAGCCGTGTCCTGTGGTACGTGTCAGAGCAGCGCGGGACCACCCCCACGCCCACACCCACGCCCGGCTCTTCAGCCTCCAGCTTCCTTATCCTCAGAGTTCAGGGGCAAGCCCAAGAGGCCATGGCAGCCCCTTACCAGGGTGCCCATACCACTGCTGCTGTTGCCACCATCACAGCCCCCTGTGGCTCAGGCCCTGCCCCCTCCTCCAGGACGTGGCTCTCTGTGGAGGTAGAGGCCCAGCCATGGGGCAGAGTCCATTTGCCAAGGTCTTGGCCTATTTACTGAGCCCCAGGGCAACCCAGCTTGAGTGGGGACCCACCTTGGGCCACCCTGAGCTAGGGATGGACAGGAACCAGACCAGTGAGTGACATCGGGGCACCCTGGAAGGGGCTGGGCCCTGTGGGGGGAGGGGCGGGAGGCCACAGGCAAGCTGCTCTGCAGCCAGGATCAGGGTCAGCAAGTGCCCAGCCCCCGTGGGCCCTGTGCTGGGCCCCAGGCAGGGTTTGTCCCCTCTGGGCTCGCTGGAGACCATACAGGGCAGCCGGCGGTGGGTGGGAGCTCCCTATGCTCTCTGGGTGTCTCTGCCTGCCCTTCCATCCTCTCTTTCCCAGAGGCATCTGGCCTGGGGTGTCCACCTTCTCCACGGCCCCAGTGTGTGCCCCTGAGCCCCCTGGGCCATCCTTCCCTCCTCCCCACTTGTCTCTTTTCCTGCTCCTCCCCTGACTGCCTTACAGGCCACCCCACTCCCCAAAACAACCAAAACCCAGCCTCTTTTTCCCGACAGCAGTGAGGGTTTCCGTGTCAGGCTCCTCCAGGAGAGCCCCAAAAAGAGAAACACATCACCAGCATTTCCATCCTGAAAGTCCAGATGTCCGTGCCTGGCCCCGAGCGAGGGCCGCCCAGTCCCGCAGCCTGCCATGGGTCACGGCAGCCTCAGTTTGCCCATCCCTGCAGTGGGCGTGATGACCTCTCCCTCCAGAAGGTGTTGGGCAGTCCCTGAGAAAAAGGTGTGAACAAAATGGCGTGTACACACACACACACACACACACACACACAGGGCCTTGAGCAGCCAGGGGCCATGGGTGCCCTCGGGCAGCTCAATCCCTGGACCAAGATGTCCCTGCAAGCAGTTTACCTTTGTCTTCGAAACAGGAGCATCCTCGCTGCGGAGGCAAGCATGGGGCGCCGGGCTCCAGGGCCCTGGCCAGGGGCAGTGGGCCTTGCCCTGTGGTAGGCAGCCTGGCCTGCTGTGTGCCGAGTGTGCCCTGCCCCTCGCGTGTGCCTTCCTGTCCATTTTGCCCTTCCCCCACCTCTCCTTTGGTCCCTGGGCTGTGTCCCTGCATGTGCATGGGAGAGTTCCAGGAGCTGCTCTGTGTGTCTGAGGCCCGTGCAGGACCAGTGCCCGGGAACAGGGTGGAGTGTTGGCTGCTCCTGTGTGCCCTGGAGGCTGTGTGTTTTGTCCCCGCCAGCCCGCCACTCTCTGGGCACCCTGCTTGCCTCTGATGGCTCAGTGGACATCCTGACAACCTGAGCCTGCCCTGCCTTGGCTCAGATCCAGTCCCTGGGCCCAGAATGGCCGGAGGGGGTGGGGGTACCATCTCTGGGTTGTCCATAAAGCACTCTTGGAGGCACCCCTGCCCAAAGGTTGAGAGCCCCTGGGCTCCTGAGGTGAGGGGCAGGGGCTCTGTCACAGCTGCCAGGCAGGAAGCCGCACAGTCCTTCCATTACTCCACTGGGGCCCTTGCTTCTTCCTTGTTTCTTTTCTTTCTTTCTTTCTTTCTTTTTTTTTTTTTTTTTTTTTTTTTTTTTGGACAGGCAGAGTGGACAATGAGAGAGAGAGACAGAGAGAAAGGTCTTCCTTTTGCCATTGGTTCACCCTCCAGTGGCCGCCATGGCTGGCACGCTGTGGCCCGCGCACCGCACTGATCCGAAGCCAGGAGCCAGGTACTTATCCTGGTCTCCCATGGGGTGCAGGGTCCAAGTACTTGGGCCATCCTCCACTGCACTCCCTGGCCACAGCAGAGAGCTGGCCTGGAAGAGGGGCAACCGGGACAGAATCCGGTGCCCCGACTGGGACTAGAACCCGGTGTGCCGGTGCCGCAAGGCGGAGGATTAGCCTAGTGAGCCGTGGCGCCGGCCGGGGGCCCCTTGTTTCTGACCACTACACAGGTGTCCCCACAGATCGCACTGGGAGCACACTCAGGACTAGTGCGGTGAAAAGCCATCGGGTGCCCTTGAACCTGCTACCCAGATGGACGGCAGAGGCACCTGGGCTGCCATCCCCACAGGCCGGGGAGGGATGGGAGGGCCTAGAGCACTGACCACACACCCGTCCGAGTCACTGCAACCTTCTTCCTTTCCAGGGTCCCGATGGGCTGCCCGTGCCCGGCTGCTGGCATAAGGTACCTGGCAATGCAGGGTCCTCTGGGGTGGGCTTGGAGGCATGGAGGGGTGGGCCGGGAGTCTGTAGCCCCCTGCACAGTGACTGGACCACACTGCCCTGTCATGAGCCTGGCTTGTCACTCCTATCACAGGGCTGAGGCTGCGGCTGGGGCTGGGGCCTGGGGTGACTGCAGCTGCTCCGTTTGGTCTCCTGGGCCTTGGTCGGTGCTCAGCACAGCCATCAGAAGTTCCTTGGACTTTGCCCAAACTGTCCCACTGAGGGGAGCCTGGGAGGAGAGGAAGAGGCCGTACCTGTTCCAGAGGGCATGGCCTGGACGGGGGATGTGGCCCAGACAAGACTGGGGCCCCCAGTCACCTTCTGTCTTTCCCTCCTCTTCCAGTGACCCCAGATCCAGCTCACAACCTGTACAGACCCGTGTGGACATTTTGAATTTTTGTAAAACAAAACAGTAATATATTGCTCTTTTATGCAATGCACCACCTGTGGCCTTGTAACATTCAGAAGTGTCCGACCCAGCCCAGAGCCGTCAGCACCGGAGGCTGGCGAGAGAGGGGACAAGCAAGCACAGGATAGCTGTGTGCTTGGGGGCCCCTCCTCCAGGACTTGGCTTTCCTGGCGAAGAGACGAAGGTGGCTGTGCCTGGCTCCCCTGGGCCTTCAGCCACCTGAGCAGCGAGGAGGCTCATTGCTGTCCCACGGCCACGGGGGGCGGCCGCTGGGAGCCCTGGAGTCCACAAGTCACGCTGCCCAAGAAGGCCCAGGACTCGACAGCAGCTGCCACTGCTCCTGGACGTGGCCTCCAGCAGCTGCCCCGGCCCCAAGGAGGAGGGAGTGGAAAGTTGCCTGTATGGCTCACTGCCGCCTTGCTTGGTGGGCTCAGGAAGCCGGCCTGCATCAGGGACACGCGTCCTCTGGCCACACCTAGAAGCCACACTCTGATGCAGAACCAGCTGCTGGAGCCCCTTGATCCTCGAGCGTGGCAGACAGAGGGTCCCAGGGTGGGCCTGGCTGCCACTTCCTGTCACATCACCCGGAGCAGGGACAGATGGGGCTTTTGCAGGGCCCAAGGAGACAGACCTTCAGTCAGAGCTGTGGCCTCACTGGTTCCGAGTGTCCCGCCCAGCCCTGTGGCCTCCCGGCCAGACACCATCATCGTGATGAGTTACGCAGACAAATGAGCCTCAGGGCCGGCTCCCAGCTGGCCCGAGCAGGGGCCTGCAACCACCCCTGGCAGGTGTCCCAGCTCCCAGCAGCCAGCTCCTCCCTGTCTGTGCTGTCGGATAGCACTGCGTGTAATAAACTACCACTGTGTGCTTGGGTGTGCCTGTCCTTGCAGCCTGCCCTGGGCGCCTCGGGCTGAGATACCAGCCTGGCCATTACGAGGTGGGGACAGGCCGCAGAAACCAGAGAAGGGTTGCAGTGTGAAGTTCAGAAGGCACAGACATGACCAGGCCAGCCAAGTCCTCTGGCACTGGGTCATTTCTGTCACCAAGCCCCCCACGTGGCCCTCCATTGTGGTGACCAGGGACTGCTACTTCACAAGTCACCCCAAAACCCACTGCCACACAACTATCACCATGCCTGGTTCTTGCTCACGGCCCTGGGGTTCATGGGCTCAGCGGGATGCTGCTCGTTCAAGTTCTCTCCATCTGGTGATCAATGCTGGCTGTCATTTGGGACCTCACATGGCTGGAACACCTGCCTGGGGCCCCTGCTGTTGGCCTAGCTTCCTTCCCGGTGCGAGCAGGCCAAGCCTCTGACATCATACAGGGTCGCATTCTGCCAGGGTTGGAGGCTCCTCCCGACTCAAGGGGCTATAGCTAGACCTCGCCTCCCACTGGGAAAACGTCGACACCCTCCCTTAAGGGGAGATGTGGGGTCACAGGTCTTGCGATTATTTCAGAAATGCCACGTGCCACCTCATCCATAAAATGGGAGGGCAGCCCTCCCCCAGACCCTGACATGGGACATCCTTGTTAAGCAGAAGAGGCTGGGGTTGGTGCTGTGGCACAGCGGGTTAAAGCACAAGCCTGCAACACCAGCATCCCATAAGGGCACCGGTTCAAGTCCAGGCTGCTGCACTTCTGATCCGGCTCCTTGCTAATGCACCTGGGAAATCAGCAGAGAATGACCCAAGTGCTTGGGCCCTTGCACCCACGTGGGAGACCCAGAAGAAGCTCCTGGCTCCTGGCTCCTGGCTTCAGATTGGCTCAGCTCCAGCCATTGCAGCCATTTGGGGAGTGAACAGCAGATGGAAAACCTCTCTCTGTAACTCTTTCAAATAAATAAAATAAGTCTTTAAAAGAAGAAGAGGCCCTGGCCACACACTGGCTAAGGAGGGAAGAAATGAGGGTGCGTCCAAAAATTCACAGAAAATGGAATTATAAGGATATTTTGATACAAAGCTTTTTAAATCATATCTGGAAATGCATATCGTGCCTGCATTTCAAAATCTTTTTTGCAACAGAATAAACTTACACCTTTTAAAATTTTGTTATTCATTTATTTGGGAGACAGAGAAACAGTCAGAGATGGATGAATACAACTCCCGTCCTCTGATCCACTCCCCAAATGTCCACAATGACCAGAGCTGGCCTAAGCTAAAGCTGGGAGCCCAGGACCCAATTCCTTGAGCCAGGGTCTGCATCAGTATGACAGGGAACTTGGAGTCAAGAGCCAGAGCTGGGAACTGAATCCAAGTGCTCCGGCATGGGACACGGGTATCTTAATTGCCAGGCTAAATGCCTATGCCATACCTATGTTATTAATTCCATTTTCTACACATTTTTTGAAGTGCCACCATATGTCAAGTCCCTTCCTCTGTCTCCCTCAGGGCCAAGGGACAAGTGGCTGGCCACACTGCTTGGCAAATTGCCTTAGACATCAGAAAACCAGAAGTAGAAGAGAAACGGTGGGGACTGATGGCAGAGTCACCCCTGGGTGTCCAGGCTTCCTTTAGGGTTCCAGCATCACCCCCAAAATGTGCTCCCCTGTTTGTGGGTCACGCCTCCCTCCAGCCAGGAACCTCTCTTGACCCCCTCACTGACCCTGAGAAGGACAGAACCTCTGTGCTAGGTGTCACTGTGTCCAATGTACAGATGGCAAAATTGAGGCCCAGAGAGGTTCAGCGCCTGCCCGGGGATGCTCAGTCAGGGCAGGTGGCTCGGATCAGGCCTCTTGCTGTCCCCTCCTCTGTAAGCTGCTGGCAGCCCCAGGATGCTAAATGACTGGCAAATGGAACTCGGTGGGGGGTGGGGGAAACACCCAGGGGGTCCCTCTCCTGCTTCTCGGCCCATTGCTGCCTTGGTATGGTGTCAAGGCTGTATCCTTAGACTTGCAAACTTCAAACTGCAGAGCCTGGGGTAGGACAGTGAGGACAGTGTGGCCGTGCAAGAGTGAGAGTGGGAGCGCCCGCGCCCACCCCCGCGGAGTCTCAAGGACAGGACTGGGGGCAACTCTGCCTCAATGAGCCCCCTCTGGAACTCACCGCTGAACTCACCACAAGGTCCCCCAGCCCCTGTCACAGGTGAAGAGTGAGGGCTTGCAACACACAGGTCTCCCCATACCTCCCCCTCCTCATCCCAGGGACACCCCTGGAAACACATGGGGTGCTTTGGGCTGTCACAATGATGGCCACACCTGAAGCCTGTCGCAGGAAGTAGGAGAATTCACCAGAGCACAGAGACAGCAGAGCTGGATTTACCAAACGCACCACAGGGAAGCCACAGGCAAGCAGGTCAGGTAGGGGCTGACCCCTGCTGCAACACAGACTGGATCGGAGTGGTACACCCGCAGCGGCAGTGCCGTGGGGCTGACAGGTGCCACATGCTTGCAAGGGAGCAGCAGGCTGGACAGCCAGAGGCCTCTCAGACTCAGCCAAGAAGCATCTAGTATTTCCTAAGTTAGGGTGAGTTTTCCACGGTCCCTGAGGTTTTCCCAGGCAGGTGATTTGCATCTATGGGCAGAGCTGCAGAGGGGACACCACCAAACGCCCTGGGCCACCCTCCACACCACCCTTGATACCACCCCAGTGCAGAAACACCATGCCTGGGCTTAAACCTTGGCTGAGTCACTTCCTCCCATGCCCTGACCTCTCGGCCTTTGGTGTTGCCTGGAAACCCAGGCGGAAGACGATGGACAAAGGATTGCTTTAGCACAAGGCCAGAGGCAGGAAGAAGGGGAGGCTTCCTGGTAGTGTCGCACCCCCTGCTTAGATCTTCCTGGAAAAGCCTGCTACGACCTGCAACAGTGTCACCTCCTGAGGCTGGACATCCTGGGAGCATGGGCCATGCAAGCCGGGCCCAGCTCAGCTTCTCTTCTGCCTCTCCTAGGCAGGAAAAGTCCCTGCATGGAGCAGGCTTCCCTGAGCGGCTGCTGCTGGGGCTGGGAGGGGAGGAAGAGCGGCCCCAAAGAGGACTCTCAGACACACAGGCCCCAGGGGCCTCCACCAGAGGCAAAGCCGGTACCCTGAGAAAACCAGAGCCCAAAGCTACACGTACATGGGCGAGGATAGGCCTCTTGGTTAATTGGGTTAGAATTTTCTGTTTTTTCCAAGAATCGTGTAAAAGGTTCAATTCCGTTTAAAATGAAAAATAAGCAACTTCAGTTTGGGAAAGTGGGTAGGATGGGTGTTTGGCCTAGTGCTTTAAAGATGCTCACAGGGACGGCTGCATTCTATATCCAAGGGCCTGGGTTCAAGCCCTGGCTCTGCTTCCATTCTGGCTTCCTGCTAATGCACACCCTAGGGAGGTGGTGGCTGAAGCAGTCAGGTCCCTGACAGCCAGACCCAGACCCAGACCCAGACCCAGCTCTGGGCCTGGACCTCTTGGTTAATTAGGGGAAAAAAAAATTTTTTTTTTCAAAAATCGTGGCTTTTGCTGGCGTTTGAGGAGTGAACCAACAGACAGGAGATCTTGCTCGCTCTCTGCCTCTGTTTCAGCTTGTGTCTGCCTCTCAAATGAATAAAAGTGTTTAAGCTGGATGGATGGTAGTAATGGTCACACACAAATGTGAATGTATTTACTGCCACAGAATTGTACCCTTAAAAACAGTTAAATAGTAAAATGAACTGTGTTGTATATTTCACCATAATAAAAACAAATAAGAAACTCCAACTGCTCTTTAATAAATGCCCTAAGCAGGGGTGGGCTTTGTGGCACACTGAATTAAGCCACCAACTTTGGGCGCCTGCCTCCCACATCAGGCCCGTCTGAGAGGCCAGAGTCAGGGCTACTCCCCTTCCCCTCCAGCTTCCTGCTAACACACACCCTGGCAGGCAGCCAGCGATGGCCCAAGAACTGGGTCCCTGCCACCCCCAGGAAGACCAGGATTGAGTTCCCAGCTCCCACCTTCAGCTTGGCTCAGCCTTGGCTGTTGCAGGCATCCGGGGAGTGAACCAGCAAATGGAAGACCTTTGTTTTTGTCACTCTGCCTTTCACATAAATAAATGTTGTGGGTTTTTGTTTTTTTTTTTTTTAATTTTTAAAGTAAATGCCCTAAGCATTTTACAAATGAAGGCTGGGAATCCTGCAGAGGTGAGCAGAGGAGGGGCAAGCAGGAACCTCCCCTCCCACCCTCTTTCAAGGGGTCATCAGTCTGGATCTCACATGGGCTCCTTGCTAATGTGCCTGGGAAAGCAGTGGAAGATGGCCCAAGTGCTTGGGGCCCTGCACCCACGTGGGAGACCCGGAAGAAGCTCCTGGCTCCAGGCTTCAGCCTAGCCCAGTCCTGGCCATGGCAGCCATTGCGGGAGTGAATCCGCGAATGGAAGACCTTTCCCTCTTTCTCTCTCTCTCTCTCTCTCTCTCTCTCTCTCTAACTCTGATTTTCAAATAAAGAAATCTTTTAAAAAATAAAACTTCTCTCTCTGTCTCTCTAACTCTGCCTGTCAAAAAATAAATAAATAAAAATAAAATAAAGGAGAGCCACCAGCGCCCCACCCCAGGAGGGGCTGCCTCTGCTCGTCCAGCTCCCAGCCTCTTGGAGGCCTGTTCTCCTCACTCTCCGGGTCCAGGTGGGGTCCGTCACCCCAATAGGCTCGCTCTTCATCTGGGACCAAAGGCCGTTCGCCCTGTGGGCCTTCTCCCTGCAGAGGTACCACAGGGCTCAGGAAACTTCCTGCCCAAACGGCTCAGGTCTCCTGGCTCCGAGGTACCTCAAGCTCACCCCGCCTGGATCCCAGCGGGAATCCTGGCGCCCTGAAGGCCCCGGGCTCCCCTGCTGCTCCTTCCCGGGGCCAGAGGGCCTCGGTCTTGCGGCGGGAGGGGGGCACCCACGCGGGTGTGCCGGCAGACACCCTGAGCCAAAGCGCGCCGGGCCGCTCGGGGCGGGCCCCGCAGAGCGAGGCGGGCCCGGCCGGGCCGGCCCGGGGCGGGGCCTACAGAGCGAGCCCGCGCTGCGCCTCGGCGCCGGCCCACGCCAACGTCATGGCCGCGGAGCGGCGCGCCAAGGCGGACACGCTGGCCCTGCGCCGGCGGCTCCTCAGGTACCGCGGCGGGCCGGCGCGGGGTGGGGGGGACGCGCCCGCGCGACGCAGGCGCACGACGCACGCGGGCTCCGGCGTGGGCCCCGCGGGGCCTGTCCCTGGTCGCGCCGAGCCCTGGGTGGCGGCGCCGTGGGGAGGCCGCCGTCTCGCCCGACAGGCAGCCTTTGCCCCTGGAGGAGCCCTGTGCCCTGGCCCCTGGGCGGGCTCGCCGCTGGCGACGGCCTGGCTGCAGAACCACCCGGGAAGGGGCCTCAGACCGCTCTTGCCCTGAGTGCGCGCAGGAGCCCCGGACTGGCCCGCAGAGGGGACAGCAGGGGCCCCTTGGTGCGTCCAGGGCCGGAAGCCAGGACCTGCTGTGGTTGTCCACCCCACCCCCACCCACAGCACAGCCTCAGGGGCCTCCCGCCCATGCAGACGAGGGAGCGCCGCCACAGAGGGTTAAAATGACTTAAGAAATAATTTAAAGTTTTGATAACTTCTTGCCGCTGCTTCCTGCTTTACTTTGGGGCGGGGACTGGACAGGGTGTCGCTCAGGCAGGGGTGGCGGACCTGTCCCCTCGCCTGCCTCCCACAGCGCTGCCTGCAGACTCTTTTATCCTGAGGCTCCTGTTAAGATTGTCCGAGGCCAAGGGCAGTACCTGTATGATGAACAGGGGGCAAAGTACCTGGATTGCATCAACAATGTGGCTCACGGTCAGTATTGTCCCTGGGGCCGGTGGGGCAGGAGAGGAGGCAGAGACTGTGCACCTGGCCCCAGGGTGACCCCAAGGTTGCAGAGAGGTGTGGAGACCCCGGTGTGAAGCTGAGGGGCCGCCCGCACGCGGAAGAGGCCCGGTTTGTGGTGCAGCTGTAGGAGGCATCCAGCCAGAGGTGTCAGAGATGCAGGTGTGTGGTGCCAGTTCCACGTGGAACTGAGGCAGGTGGTCCAGCGCTGCAGATGGCCTTGGCCATGGCTCAGTGTTGGCCCCTGGGGGCCATCTCAGATGCTGGGCAAGGCGGCTGACCCAGGAAACTTAGCAGACAACTTGGAGGTTAATAGAGTAGAGATTAAAAGTGGGACGTAAGGTTCCTTCCAACTGGGCGGGGCTTGGACGAAGGAAACCCATTCTATGATGCCCATACTTAGCCCTCTGCTGGGATTTCGCCACAATACAAGGGAAACGTTACAAAAGGTTCACGAGGACTGAGTGTTGCTTTGCTAACTTGTCTGAACGGGCCTGGCGCTGGTGAGCTCCCAGTACTTGTTCCTGTTATTAGCCTCGGCGAGCCGGATCACCTCCAGCCCCAGGACGAGTGAAGCCAAACACTGACAGCCAGCCCTACCCGCTGCCTGTCTCAAGCAGAAGGCACCAGAGAGCCCCTTAAAGACAAGGTTTTTTCAGAGAGCTTCTGCCAGGATCTCGGGGATCCCAGAACTGGGGGCTCTCCTCCCCCTCTGCCTGCCCCTCCCTCTGACCCCTCCCCTCCTGTGACTCCTCCCCTTCCTGCCCCACCTGTGACTCCTCCCCCTCCCTGCCTCTCCATGTGACTCCTCCCCTCTCTCTGCCTCTCCCTCTCCCTCTGTGACTCCTCCCCCTCTTCCTGCCCCTCCCTCTGTGACTCCCCCTCTACCTCCCCTCCCCTTGTGACACCTCCCTGCTTCCTGCCTCTCACTCTGTGTCTCTTCCCCTTCCTGTGACTCCTCCCCCTCCCTGCCTCTCCATGTGACTCCTCCCCTCTTCCTGCCTCTCCCTCTGTGACTCCTCCCCTCTCCCTGCCTCTCCCTCTGTGACTCCTCCCCTCTCCCTGCCTCTCCCTCTGTGATTGACGAGTGTGACGGGCTGGGGGAGGCCCAGTGGAATGGGCTGAGTGGAGTCGGCTGTGTGATGGACATGGCCCTCTTGCAGTGGGGCACTGCCACCCTCTCGTGGTCCAAGCTGCACACGAACAGAACCAGGTGCTCAACACCAACAGCCGATACCTGCACGACAACATCGTGGATTATGCGCAGCGGCTGTCAGAGACCCTGCCGGAGGAGCTCTGTGTGTTTTATTTCCTGAATTCTGGGTAAGTGGACTGTGGCCAGCCCCCAGCCGGAGGGTGAGACGGCAGAGAGCAGCGTTGCTCCGGGTGCACAGCCTGGTGTTGCCGCCTGCATGTGACTCCGGGAGAGGCTGCCCTGCTGCTCCGGCTCCCACGCTGCCCAGCTGTGGACTTGGCTTGCCCTGGTGGGACCCAGCTCCTGGTTTCCTAGAAAAGGATGCCCAGGCTCTCGTGCAGGGTCCCTGTTGGGGCCTGGTGAGGTAGCGTCCAGTGTGCTGCTCTGAGACTTGGCGTAAGGAGTGATTCTTCAAAGAAACAAAAAGACAGAGGGGGCTATTGTCGGGAGGAGGCATACAGAGTACAGTGAGGCCTCTAAGCTTTGGGAGGGCCCCACCTGTCTGGGGGGTTAGGTAGACTTTCCTAAAAGAAGCCACGTTAAGCTTAGGGCTCGCGAGGTGGTAACTAGAGAGGAGGAAGGAAGCGTGCCACCTGCTCCATCAGAAGTACTTTTGTCAAGGTTGGTGTCTTGCACGGACCATCTTGTGCAAAGGCCCAGTGGCAGGAAGGGGCATGGCACCTTGGAACCCAGGGAAGGTCAAGGAGGAGAGGGCGTGAGCTAACACCGGGAGGGAGCCAGGGCCTAGTCAACCAGGCGAGGAAGCGCTTCTTCCCCCAGGAGCACCGGAAAGCCATAGGGAAGTGATGTCAGGGCAGACGGCAGACAAGAACAGGCACGGTTAGGTGCCAGTTGGGGTGCCAGGTGAATGGTGATGGTAGCACACACTGGAATGGCAGGCAGCGCAGAAGCAGGCAGGTGGTCACAGCATACCTGCAGGAGTCACAGGCAGTGGCATTTGTGTGATTATCATTGCTGCTTGCATAGTACAAGGTACTCTGAAAGGTCCGTGGAAAGTGGAATGAAAAGATACATTTAACTTAAAAGTACAGAGAATTTTTCAAAATTCATGCAAGGGTTTCTGTACTGCGCTTTTTCCATGAATGTTTTGCAGTCCTCACACTTGTCAGCTGCCCCCTTTCCCCACCACCAGATAACTTCAGGGAGGTGGAATTTAGCATCCACCCCTCACAGATGAGGAAACAGCAATTCAAGGAAAGAAACTAGCTTGCCCACGGTCATCCACCTGGGAGACAGCAGAGTCAGAACTGGACCCTGTTGGGGCAGAGCGGGGAGCTGGGCCAGGAGTCGGCGCTGCTTCAGCAGTGGCAGAGGAACATTCTTTGGATCCCAGTGGCTCCCATGTTGCCACATCTGATTGTGGGTCCCAGTGGCTTCCGTGTTGCCCGTGCGGTGATCTGTGTGGGTCCCAGTGGCTGCCATGTTGCCCGTGCGGTGATCTGTGAGGGTCCCAGTGGCTGCCATGTTGCCCGTGCGGTGATCTGTGAGGGTCCCAGTGGCTCTCACGCTGCACGTGCGGTGATCTGTGAGGGTCCCAGTGGCTCCCACGCTGCACATGCGGTGATCTGTGTGGGTCCCAGTGGCTCCCACGCTGCACGTGCGGTGATCTGTGAGGGTCCCAGTGGCTGCCATGTTGCCCGTGCGGTGATCTGTGTGGGTTCCAGTGGCTCCCACGCTGCACGTGCGGTGATCTGTGTGGGTCCCAGTGGCTCCCACGCTGCAGGTGCGGTGATCTGTGTGGGTCCCAGTGGCTCCCACGCTGCACGTGCGGTGATCTGTGAGGGTCCCAGTGGCTCCCACGCTGCACGTGCGGTGATTGTGGGTCCCAGTGGCTCCCACGCTGCACGTGCGGTGATCTGTGAGGGTCCCAGTGGCTCCCACGCTGCACGTGCGGTGATCTATGAGGGTCCCAGTGGCTCCCACGGTGCACATGCCGTGCTCTGGTTGCTGCCCGGGCCTCACCTGCTCTCAGAACTGCTCAACAGAGTTAGCTACCTCCCTGGAAGTGCTTCTAGGACACTGTGCCTGCTGCTTTGCCGCCAGCATCTCTGGCCAAGTCCTCTACCCCTCTGGGCTCTTCCTCAGCTGCTTTTGCCCACCGACCCCCTTCCTGTGTGATCTCATCCCGTCCCTTCACCCATGTGTTGGAGCTTCCCAAATTTACATTACGAGCCCAGAGGCTTCCCAGGTGTTCCAGACACAAGGTTCTCACTGCCTGCTTTATTTGACACGCATCTCCAACTTCTCATGTCCAAAAGGTAATCAAGTTACCTTCCACAACACGTGGTCTGGGCCCACAGCAGGAGCCCAGTCCCCTGCCCCAGGCCTTCTCAGTAAGACCATCTCCGCTCATTGCCACCCTCACCCCGGCTCAGGCATCACAACTTACAGCTCTGCTCAAGGCCGAAACCCCAGCATGTGTCGGTCCTGGCCCGTCCGCCCCTGCCTGCCTCCCAAACCCCTCCGCTCCTCGCCACCCCTGGGCCAGCCCTCACTGTCACCTGGGCAGCCTCCCCAGAGGTCCCCTCGCTCCCACTTTGATTCGCGTCTACTCCACCAGACACACACAGAGGCTGCCTCCTGACACGGGAGCTGGGGGCTGTGCCCCTTCCCTGAGTACTGTCCCTCTGCGGCTTTGCGTGGGCACTCAGAGTCCAGGCTCCTTCCTAGCCCTGTGACCATGGCCCCTGCCAGGCTCCCCCTTGGACCCTGGCCCCCTGAGCACGCTGCACCCTGTTCCCTACCATGGGACCTACAATTGTGGCTGTGGCTCGCCTTGCCGGCGTCACCTCCATCCAGGGCTTCCCCCAACCGGTAAGGGCGCCGTGACAGTACCACGGACAGCCCCTCACAGCGGTTTCCTTTCCCCTGGTCCTGGAGGCAGGAAGTCCAAGATCAAAGCCTCGGTGCCTTGGCTTCCCACCGTGTGCTTACGGGGCGTTCTCCTCCACGCAGACGCCCAGGGGTCTCTGTGTGCATCCAGGTTTCCTCCTCTGATAAGGACGCCAGTGCGAAGGGAGCGGACCACGCCCTCACAGCCTCCTTTCTACCCCATCTTCTTGCTGAAGGCCTTATCTGCAGTTACAGCCACACACAGGGGCGAAGGCTTCCACGTGTCAAACGGGGAAGGGGCAAAACGCAGCCTCTAGCACCCCTTCTCTAAAGCCGGGCCGCTTTAGGACCCTGGATCGCTTGTAGCGCTTACCGAAGTGCCGTGTACTTGCTCGTTCACTCTCGGGGCTGTCGAGACACACCCGGAACATGAGCTCCAGGAGGGCCCAGCGCCTGGGAGGCAGTGGACGTTTACCACGTGGCTGAGCAAAAGCCCGGCTGAATGAACTCCAGAGAATCTTCCAGCTGCTGGAAGGGTCCCCTCGGCCGTGAGCATTCCCCTTTCACAAGTCCTCGGACACCTGTCCGAACCGAGCCCACCTTCTCTGCTGCAGGTCAGAGGCCAACGACCTGGCCCTGAGGCTGGCCCGCCAGTACACGGGACACCAGGACGTGGTGGTGCTGGACCAGTAAGTGCGGCTGCCCGCTCTGCTGTTTCCGGAAGCCAGGCCCGCGCTTCCTTTCCAACAGCCAATGAGGCTTTGACCTTGGGTGCTTCGAGAGGGAGGAGGAGGGCCTGGCCCCAGGAGGGAAGCGTGGCGGGCAGAGACCAGGCCCCAGAGATACCTACCAGGCGGGGCTGTCCCCCTAGCCACTGACTGGAGGGGAAGATTCCAGGGAGCAGTGTTGTGAGGGGTAAAAGCAGGTGTCCATTCCACCCCGGCATGGTTCCCACGTGTCAAACATCTGATGTACACAAGACCCAGGCCCAAGCTCACAGCATTAGCACATCCAAGGTTGATTATAATACTGAAGATTCAGTGTGACCCCACTTTACAGAGGGGAAAACCGAGCCTGCAGAAGTTATATGATAGCAGCCTTGCAGGAAGTCTTGCTGGCCCTGAGACCCGGGCTTGTTCCCAGGCCAAGGAGACTGGAGGGCTGAGGCAGAGTGGGGGGCCTTCCCCATTTGTTTTTGGAGGTGGCGGGCAGTGATCAGGGCTGGGCTGGGGAGTCTGCGTCTCCTGGGCCCTCACCCGCCCCTCTTCTCCACAGTGCATACCACGGTCACCTGAGCTCCTTGATTGACATCAGTCCCTACAAGTTCCGGGACCTGGATGGCCAGAAGGAGTGGGTGCACGTGGTAGGTACCGCCCAAGTCGGCACCATGTCAGAACCCAGTCCCCAGCCCCAGTGACACGGCAGTGACACGGTGCTGTCTCCCTACAGGCACCCCTCCCAGACACCTACCGGGGCCTCTACCGGGAGGACCACCCCAGCCCAGCCGCAGCCTATGCCAGTGAGGTGGAGCGTGTGGTCCGCAGCGCACAAGAGAGGGGCAGGAAGGTAATTGCCGCCTCCTAAGCAAGAGCGAGCCTGCCCTTGAGGAGTCGGGGTGGTGGGTGGCACGGGGGCTAGTTCACTGCTGAGGACATGGCCCAGGCTGTCTGGGGTGAGCAAGAGGGGCCCCTTGCAGGAAGCATTGCCCAGCTGCAGGCGTGACAGGAGGGAGAGAGAGGCCGCTGAACAGGGGGCTGCCCAGGAGGGGAGGGACCCCCAAGCATGGGACCCTGCAGGACAGGCGGGAAGTGGAGCTTAGAGAGGCAGGCCCATCACTGGAGCCCCAGTGCTGCACTGAGCACCCGGAGCCTGGACCCTTAAAGCCTCAGGGAGCAGGGGAGGCCCCTCCGAGGGAGGCCAGTGGGCCTGCAGCAGGGTTTTATGGCGGTGGGCTTGGATGGCACGGCCCGGGGGCAAGCACTGGGAAGAAGCTGGGGCAGGCCATCCCCAGGCAGTGGAGCAGAGACAGGAGACGCGGTGCACACCCCGGAGAGAGGAGGCTCTGAGCAGCCGGAGTAAGGCCCTCAGCAAGGCCTCCCCTCGCTGGGTCTTCCCAGCACAGGATGGATGCAGGGGTTGATGGCTACAAAGCCCGAGGAGAAAGTGCCCCGGCTCGTCGGCCCCTGCCTGCCCCTGCAGCGGCCTCTGAGCGGCTCTGAGGCAGAACACTGTGGGGATGTCCTGGCTGTGGACAGAGAGGAGCTGAGCTTGGGGGGAGTTGAGGCGTCACCTGGTGGCCACGTGGGAGGTGGCCAGAAGGGGAGCCCAGTCAGATGGCATCTGTGGGAGGCCGAGGCTGGCCCCGGCCCCTGGGGTCTGCTGTGCAGATGGAGGGAGGGCTCAGAGACTTGGCAGAGGTGAGAGCTGTGGGCATGCGCACCAACACTTCTGCCCTGGGCAGGAAGGAAGGGAGTGGCAGTTGTCTGCCGGCACAGGGACAGGGAAGGGACAGGCTTATGTTGCAGAAATCTGAATTCAGTTTGCGGCAAGCCAGGGACCATCCAGGTAGTAAGAGCTGGTTTGAGGCCTGAAAGAAAACTGAGTCACAGAGCCCCACCTGGGGCGCGGTGGTGATGGGGACCTGTCCCCCACGAGGCCAGCCCCGAGCCGGCTGGCTGCAGCAGGGCAGGCCACACTCGCCTCTCAGTGTCTGTGCTGCGTTCCCGACCTGCTTCTCGTCCACAGATCGCAGCCTTCTTCGCGGAGTCTCTGCCGAGCGTGGGAGGCCAGATTGTGCCCCCTGCTGGCTACTTCTCCCAAGTGGCAGGGTGAGTGGGTGAGCTGGTCCACCCAGGGAGGGCAGGGCTGTAACTGGGCTTCCCAACCTCGGCTTGGCTCTTGAGAAAAAGCCCTTAAAGAGCTAATGGCGGAGGAAAGGCCGACCATTTGCCCGAGGCCCCAGGCTTTGCACGGGCAGGGCCGGGATTCAGAGCCTGCTCCGTCCCGTGCCGCAGGCATATCCGCAGGGCCGGCGGGCTCTTCGTCGCAGACGAGATCCAGGTTGGCTTCGGCCGGGTGGGCACACACTTCTGGGCCTTCCAGCTGCAAGGGCAGGACTTTGTGCCCGACATCGTCACCATGGGCAAGTCTATTGGCAATGGCCACCCGATTGCCTGTGTGGCCACAACCCAAGCTGTGGCGAAGGCTTTTGAAGCCACGGGCGTCGAGTACTTCAACACGGTGAGTGCGGCGGGTTCCAGGGCGGACGCTGCCCAGGCTCCTGTCTCCTCAGGGAAGGCTAGGCCAGGTCAGAGAAGCACACACAGCAGCTTACCGCCTTAGCATGTCGTGTGCTGTCCCCAGGGAGCGCACAGAAAGGACAGAGACCCCTCCCCTTCCCATGGTGCCGGCTCTGCGTGCCCAGCCCTGTGACTGAGGAGCGGGGGGCTCGTCTGTGTGGGCGGCAGTCGCACAGCTCCCATCGCCCCGCAGCTCGGAGGAAGGCACGTCCCCTGCAGCCCCGAGACAGCAGTCACAGGGTGGGCGAGGGTGCACGGAGGTGGCAGGCACCTCTTCGTGGAGACCTGAGGAGTCTGGACGGCTCGGGGGCCAGTGAGAAACGGCACAGGGGCCACAGTCACCAGGAGCCCAGCTCTGCAGCTTGCTTCGGGAGCATCCGCGGCGGCCAGTGCAGAGACCAGCCCAGGCGAGAGAGCCCGAGGCCCAGGTCTAGCTCTGGAATAGGAAGGGACCCAGACCTCGCGGGGTCTTCCCTGTAAAGCGTGACTCGCCAGGATTTGGCAAGATGGACAAAGGCAGAGGTGGCCGTTGGGAGTGAGGGAGGGATGGTGGCCTGCTGCCTTCAGCAAGCCGCTACTCCGCCCAGGGGAGCTGCAGAAAGGGTCGGGCTTGTAGGGGCTTGGGCAGGTAACGGAGGCCGCAGGGTCCTGGGGGGGGGCGGGGGTGGAGGCTTCCTGAGTCGGGAAGGATGCACAGGGATCCGCATGTGAACAGGGTGTCCTGGAGCCTGATCCTGACTTGAACCTCGGGTGCACCATCACCCATTCAATCCTTGCCTCATCTGTCTCCACAGAGCCGTCTCCTGTCGCACCACTCACTCAGCTATTTTTTTTTTTTTTTAAGATATGTGTATTTGTTTGAAAGGCAAAGTTACAGAGAGATAGGGAGAGAGATCTTTCATCTACTGGTTCACTCACCAAATGGCCACAATGGCTGGGATTGGGCCAGTCCAAAGCCAGGAGCCCAAAAACCCATCCAGGTTTCCCACATGGGTGGCAGGGGCCCAAGCACTGGGACCATCTGTCACTGCTTTCCCAGGCACAGTAGCAGGGAGCTGGGTCGGAAATGCAGCAGCCACAGCTTGAACCGGAGGAGCCCATGTGGGATGCTGGCGTTGTGCCCAGGGAGCTGAGCCACAGTGCCAGCTCTTGGTTGGTTATCTGAAAGGCTGAATGACAGGGAGAGAGATCCTCCATCTGCCTGTTCACTCCTCAAATGCTGAGACTCTCATCTCCTGTCTGCAGGGCCCCTCCTGTCTCACCACTCACCCACTGACTTTATTTTTTAAAGATTTATTTACTTATTTGAAAGGCAGAGTTACAGAGAGGCAGAGAGAGAGGTCACTCCCTAGTTGGCCACAATGGCCAGAGCTGGGCCAATCCCAGGCCAGGAGCCAGGAGCTTCTTCTGGGTCCCCCACACGGGTGCAAGGGCCCAGGGACTTGAGCCATCTTCTACTGCTTTCCAGGGCCGTGGCATAGAGCTGGATTAGAAGTGGAGAAGCCGGGACTTGAACCGGCGCCCATATGCAGGCAGCGGCTTTACCCACTATGCCACAGTGCTGGCCCCCACGCATTGACTTTTACTAAGATTATGAGCACCTGGGAAGCTGTCTCCCCGCATGCTCACCCCTAGCCCTGTCTCCTAGCCCCCTCCCCTTGGAAATCCCTTGTCCATTGTTTATGACAGTTGCTGTTTTTACCTTGTGTGAAGTCTCATGCTGGACAAGGGTTCAAAAAGTTTGGTGGGAAAATGAATTTAAAAGTTGAGGGCCGGCGCCGCGGCTCACTAGGCTTATCCTCCACCCTGTGGTGCCGGCACACCGGGTTCTAGTCCCGGTCGAGGCGCCGGATTCTGTCCCGGTTGCCCCTCTTCCAGGCCAGCTCTCTGCTCTGGCCAGGGAGTGCAGTGGAGGATGGCCCAAGTGCTTGGGTCCTGCACCCCATGGGAGACCAGGATAAGTACCTGGCTCCTGCCATCGGATCAGCGCGGTTCGCCGACCGCAGCGCAGCGGCCATTAGAGGGTGAACCAACGGCAAAGGAAGACCTTTCTCTGTCTCTCTCTCTCACTGTCCACTCTGTAAAAAAAAAAAAAAAAAAAAAAAAAAGTTGAGTTGGTACAAAAGAATTTTGAACTCCCTGCATGTTTTTTTCACAATCCACATTTCCATGAACTTTTGGAAGACTCATCGCATATACTCCTCGAGAACTTTTTACCCAACCTCATATCACTGGGGATCATCCGTATTGCATGTCACTGAGGTTGTCATTTGATGGCTTCCTAGTACTGCATTGGATAAAGATTTATGGGGCCAGCATTGGGGCACAGTGGGTATCCCATGTGGATGCTGGTTCAAGTCCCAGGTGCTCCACTTCCAATCCAGCTCCCTGCTAGTGGCCTGGGAAAAGCAACAGGAGATGGCCCAAGTGCTTGGGTCCCTGCCACCCTCATGGGAGACCCAGATGAAGCTCCTGACTCCTGGTTTCAGCCTGGCCCAGCGCTGGCCATTGCAGCTATCTGGGGGGAGTGAACCAGCAGATGAAAGATCTCTCTCTCTCTCTCTCTCTCTCTCTGTAACTCTTTCAAAAACAATAAATCTTAAAAAAAAAAAAAAAAAAAAAAAAGAAAGCACAACACGTATTCACATCCACATTAATGAGGCTGTTCCCTGTTCATGGCCACAATGAATAATCCTGTGAACAGTGTTCATGTCCACTGCATGGGCAGGAATGTTCCTCTGGGAAGTACCTGGGAGTGCAAAGGCTGGGTCACTGAGTGTTGAGCGTGTGTGTACCTTCAAGTTAATGGAGAGTGACGTCTGTATTCCAAAGTCATGCACAAACTAATACCTTTTGCCCCTTGCCAGTCCACTGGGGTATAAAGTGGCAGTTCCTGTGGTCTCGCTGTGCCCTGTCTTGATTTTAAATGATCAGAAGCAGCTCATGTTCCTTAGCCATGTGGCTCCTCTCCCTTGAAATGCCTGTTGTGTCTTTTGCCCATTTGTTAACTGTATTGCTGGTGCTTTTCTTGACTGTGGGATGTTGGTGTGTCCATGTGCATGTGTGTGTGTGTGCGCGTGCGTGTTTGCGTACTTGCACACATACCTACACATGCACATGTATATTTTTCTTGATAGTGACCCTTTGTTGATTGTGTGCATTAATACAGAATAGTCATCTCGTTTATATCTTTCCACTCCTTCATATTTATGATCAACCAGAGTTCTAAATTTTTTTTTTTTTTTTTGACAGGCAGAGTTAGAGAGAGAGACAGAGAGAAAGGTCTTCCCTCCGTTTGGTTCACCCCCCAAATGGCCGCCATAGTCAGCGCGCTGTGCCAATCCGAAGCCAAGAGCCAGGTGCGTCCTCCTGGTCTCTCATGCGGGTGCAGGGCCCAAGCACTTGGGCCATCCTCCACTGCACTCCAGGCCACAGCAGAGAGCTGGACTGGAAGAGGAGCAACCAGGACAAAATCTGGCGCCCCAACCAGGACAAAATCTGGCGCCCCAACCAGGACTAGAATCTGGGGTGCTGGCACCGCAGGTGGAGGATTAGCCAAGTGAGCCGCAGCGCTGGCCCAGAGTTCTAAATTTTAACATCATCTCTGTCAATCTTTTTCATTTATACCAGTGTTTTGTTTTTGTTTTTGTTTTTTTTTTTAAGATTTATTGTTTTCATTTGAAAGGCAGAGTTAGAAGCAGAGAGAGAGGTCTTCAGTCTACTGGTTGATTCCCCTAATGGCCACAATGACCAGAGCTGAGCCAATCCAATGCCAGGAGCCAGGAGCCTCTTCTGGGTCTCCCACGTGAGTGCAGGGGCCCAAGGTCTTGGGCCATCCTCCTCTGCTTTCCCAGGGTATATCAGAGAGCTGGATGAGAAGTGGAGTATCCAGGACTTGAACCAGTGCCCATATGGGATGCTGGCACCACAGGCAGTGGCTCTACCCATTACCCCACAGCACCAGCCCCAACATAGCAGTGGTTTTTTTGCAGTTTATTTAAGAAACTTCACACTGCAAGGTCTGAGATAACACTACCCTGTGTTTTTCCTCCAGTGTTTTAATGTTTTGTTTGAACACATGGGTCCTTAATCCATCTGAAATTAATTTTTAAAAATTAATTTATTTTCATTTTATTGGGAAAGCAGAGGGGGAGAGAGACAGAGACAGAAACAGAGACCTTCCATCCACTAATTTACTCCCTAAATGCCCACAACAGCCAGGGCTAGGCCGGGCAGAAGCCAGGAGCCTGGGATTCCATCCAGGTTTCCCATGTGAGCAGTAGGGATCCAAGTTCTTTAGCCATCATCTGCCTCCCAGGATGCACATTAGCAGGACGCTGGAATTGGAATGGGAGCCAAGGTCTCCCATGCAGACACTCCAAAACGGGATGCAGGCATCCAAGGCAATGCCTTAACCACGGCACCAAGCACACACTCCAGAAGTCGATTTTTTTCATGGACTGCGAATCAGAAACCCAGTCTCTCTGCATATGAGTAATGTTTTTACCCGCTCCCTTTCTTCCCCACTATGTGCTATGTGCTATGTGACCAGAACTCACATGAATGGGTCTGCTTCAGGTCTACTTCCACTCTTTTGGTCCATTTTTCTGTGTGTCCCTGTAACAATATGTGATTACTACAACGTCATAGCAGGTTCTGATATTTGCTAGGAAAGACAAGCGCCCTTTCACCTGTTTTTCTTGTTCAGAAGAGTTATATATCTAGCCCTTTGTCTTTCATTTAAATTTTAGAATTCTCTTTAAACATTTTATTTTTTTTAAATCCCTTTTGTGATGTTGATAGGATAATTGGTTGATTTGTAGATTTATTTACTTGAGAGGCAGAGAGAGTGAGCTCCCATCTGTATGTTCAGTCCCCAGATACCTGCAGATCAATGTGAGAACTGATTTGTTGATAATACTGTCATCCCATCAGCGACCCTAGAACACTTCCTGTTGTGCAGTTTTTGATACAGAGATCTTACCCATCGTGAGATTTAGTCCCAGACAATCGCTGTTCTGTCATAAGCAGTGACTTCCTTCCTGTGTTTACTGTCTGATGCTGGGGTTTAAGATATAGCCTTTTGGCCTGTGCCGTGGCTCAATAGGCTAATCCTCCGCCTGCGGCACCAGCACACCGGGTTCTAGTCCCGGTCAGGGCGCCAGATTCTGTCCCGGTTGCTCCTCTTCCAGGCCAGCTCTCGGCTGTGGCCAGGGAGTGCAGTGGAGGATAGCCCAAGTCCTTGGGTCCTGCACCCCATGGGAGACCAGGAGAAGCACCTGGCTCCTGGCTCCTGGCTTCAGATCAGCGCGGTGTGCCGGTGCACCGGCCGCAGCAGCCATTGGAGGGTGAACCAACGGTAAAAGAAGACCTTTCTCTCTGTCTCTCTCTCTCTCACTGTCCACTCTGCCTGTCCAAAAAAAAAAAAAAAAAAAAAGATATGGCCTTTTATATTTTAGTCTCACATGCAGCTGCTTGCTAAACTCCTCTATCACTTCTTTTTTTAAAAGATTTCTTTATCTTGGGGCTGGCGCTGTGGCTTAGTGGGTTAATGCCCTGCTCTGAAGCGCCAGCATCCCATATGGGCACCGGTTCTAGTCCCAGCTGCTCCTCTTCCAATCCAGCTCTCTGCTACAGCCTGGGGTAGCAGTAGAAGATGGCCCAAGTCCTTAGGCCCCTGCACCCACATGGGAGACCCGGAGGAAGCTTCTGGCTTCAGATCAGCGCAGCTTCAGCATTTGCAGCCATCTGGGGAGTAAACCAGCAGATGGAAGACCTCTCTCTCTGTCTCTCTCTCTGTAACTCTTTCAAATAAATAAAATAAATCTTTAAAAAAAAAATTTATCTTACCTGAAAGGCAGAATGACAGAGACAGAGAAAGATCTACCATCTATTGGTTGATTCCTCAAATGGCCACAATGGCCAGGGCTGATCCAGGCCGAAACCAGAAGCCCAGAACTCCATCCGGGTCTCCCAGGTGGGTGGCAGGGGCTCAAGCTCTGTGATCTGCTGCTTTCCCAGGCACGTTAGCAGGGAGCTGGAGTGGAAGCACAGCAGCCAGGACTCAAACGAGCACTCCAGGAAGGGATGCCAGCATCACAAGCCAACAAGCCGTGGCGTAACGCTGCACACAGTGCTGGCCCTCTTCCATCATCTCTGATAGAATGCTTGTGTTTATATTTTTCTACATAAATGATCTTGTCTGCAAATAATGGCAGCTGTCTTATTACACTGAGAGAGACTGACTTCCAAAACATATTTGAATTTAATTGGTTGGTATAGTGGATAGACTTGTTAGCTTGTGTAACTGCTGATAATGGTTATCCATTGAGGATGATGTTTATTGTAGGTTTAGACCATAGTCTTTATCGGGTTAAGAAAATTTCCTATTACTAATTTATGAAGAGATTTTATTATGAACAGGAATTGTCTTTTTATTTTTTTTTAAGATTTATTTATTTATTTATTTGAAAGGCAGAGTTACAGAGACAGAGACAGAGAGAGAGAATTCTGCTGTCTGCTGGTTCACTGCCCAAATGGCCGCAATGGCCGGGGCTGAGCCAATCCAAGTCAAGAGCCAGGAGCTTCTTCTGGGTTTCCCACAAGGTGCAGGAGCCCAAGGACTTGGGCCATCTTCTACTGCTTTCCCAGGCCATAGCAGAGAGCTGGACTGGAAGTGGAGCAGCTGGAACTCAAACCAGCATCCATATGGGATGCTGGTGCTGCAGGCGGTGGCTTTACCTGTGTCACAGCACTGCCTCCCCCCCACTTTTTTAAGATTTATTTATGGGGACAGTGGTGTGGCCTAGCAGGTAAAGTAACCACCTACAGTGCCAGCCTCCCATATGGGCACTGGTTCATGTCCCAGCTGTTGTACTTCTGATCAAGCTCCCTGCTGATGTTCCTGGGAAAGCAGTGGAGGATGGCTCAAGTGCTTGGGCCCCTGCACCCACATGGGACACCCAGATGAAGCTTCTGACTCCTGGCTTCAGCCTGGCCCAGCCCAGGCCATTGCAGCCATTTTGGGAGGGAAACATTGATGGAAGACCTCTCTCTTTCTCTTTCTCCCTCTGCCTCTGCCTCTCTGTAACTCTTTGAAATTAACAAATATATCTTCTTTTAAAAATTTATTTATTTATTTGAAAAGCTGGACCACAGCAGCTGGGACTCAAACAGGTGCCCATATAGGATGCTGGCACTGCATGTGGTGGGTTAACCTTCTACCCCACAGCACTAGTCTCTATCCTGTTCTCTTTAAGATTTATTTCCCTTGAGACGGCTTCCTTTCTTCCTCCCTTGCCAGCTCACCTGTCTTCCTCCCCCTCTTCCCCACCAGCCCCTTCCCCGAAAAATAAAAAAAAATTTATTTTTCTTACGTAATAGGCACAGTGACAGAGAGAATGAGAAAGAGAGAGCTTCTGTCCGCTGATTCATTCCCCTAAAAGAGCACAGCAGCCAATGCTGAGTCAGGCCAAAACCAGGAGCCAGGAACCCCATCTGGCTTCCCATGTGGGTGCAAGGGCCCAGGTACTTGGGCTGTCTTCTGCTGCTCTCTCAGGCACATGACAGGGAGCTGGATCAGAAGTGGAGCAGCTGGGGCTGGAACCAGCGCTCTGATATGGCTGCTTGCAACCAGCACCAGCCCCTGTCCTGCTCTTGTAATGTGTCTGTTGAAGTAATATTTTTTTCTCTTTTCATCTGTTAATATGGTGAATTGTATTTACAGATTTTCTCATTAGGCCATTTTCATGTACCTGGTACAAATGCAACTTGGAATGAAGTATTATAATTCTTATACACTATTACATACATTTGCTTGTCTTTTATGAATTTGTCATCTATTTTCAGAGATAAAATGGGACTGAGATTTTTTTTTTTTTTAATTTTTTTTTTTATTTTTTTTTTATTTTTATTTTTTGACAGGCAGAGTGGACAGTGAGAGAGAGAGACAGAGAGAAAGGTCTTCCTTTGCCGTTGGTTCACCCTCCAATGGCCGCCGCGGCCGGTGCGCTGCGGCCGGCGCACCGCGCTGATCCGATGGCAGGAGCCAGGAGCCAGGTGCTTTTCCTGGTCTCCCATGGGGTGCAGGGCCCAAGCACCTGGGCCATCCTCCACTGCACTCCCTGGCCACAGCAGAGGGCTGGCCTGGAAGAGGGGCAACCGGGACAGAATCCGGCGCCCCGACCGGGACAAGAACCCGGTGTGCCGGCGCCGCTAGGTGGAGGATTAGCCTAGTGAGCCGCGGCGCCGGCCTGAGATTTTTTTTTATTATTTTATCTTGGGTTTTGGTATCTGGGTTCTACCTGCCTTGTAGAATGAACTGAGAAGTATTTCTTTTCCTTTTCCATAAAATTCAGATGAGCTCTTCTTGGACTCTCTGGTGAAAACTCACCTGTAGAGCCATCTGGGCCTTGCGTTTTCTTGGTGGAAAAATTCTAAATTGCTACTTCAGGCCCTTTTTAAGCCATGCTTCAGATGGCGCAGGCAGCACCCTTATCCCAGGGGTGTTCTCACGGTTCTGAAGGCTGGGTCTGAGCTCAGGGCATCAGCGTGACTTGAGTCCTCTTCAGGTTGCAGTCAGGCAACTTTCTGCTGTACCCACACAATGGGGAGAAAGGCAATGGAGCTGTGTGGGAGCAGGTGTTGCGGCCCAGTGGGTTAAGCTGCCTCCTGCGACGCTGGCATCCCATATGATCACTGATTCCAGTCCCTGCTGCTCCAATTTCAATCCAGTTCCCTGCTAATTCACCTGGGGAAGCAGCAAGAGATGCCTAACGTGGGCCCAGTGCTGTGGCCAGTAGGTTAACACCCTGGCCTGAAGCGCCAGCATCCCATATGGGTGCCGGTTCTAGTCCCGCCTGCTTCTCTTCTAATCCAGCTCTCTGCTATGGCCTGGGAAAGCAGTAGAAGATGGCCCAAGTCCTTGGGCCCCTGCACCCACAGGGGAGACCTGCAAGAAGCTCCTGGCTCCTGGCTTCAGATCAGCACAGCTCCAGCCATTGCGGCCATCTGGGGAGTAAACCAGCGGATAGAAGACCTCTCTCTCTGTCTCCACCTTTCTCTGTAACTCTTTCAAATAAATAAAATAATAAATCTTTTTTTTTAAAGATGCCTTACATACTTGGGCCCCACCACCCACAGAGGAGACCCAGATGGAGTTCCAACCTTCTGGCTTTGGCTTGACGTTGGCCATTGTGGCCATTCGGGGAGTGAATCAGTGGATGGAAGATCTGTCTCTCCTCTCTCTGTGTAACTCTGCCTTTCAAATAAATAAATCATTTTTTTTTTTAATCATTTCTTTGAAAGGCAGAATTACAGAGAGGCAGAGACAGAGAGAATAAGAGATTTTCCATCCACTGGTTTACTCCCCAGATGACCTCAAGTCAGAGGTGGGCCAGGCTAAAGCCAGAAGCCAGGAGCTTCTTCCCGGTCTCCCACGTGGGTGCAGTGACCCAAGGACGTGGGCCATCTTCCACTGCTTTCCCAGGCACATTAGCAGGGAGCTGGATGGGAAGTGGAGCAGCTGGGACTTGAACCAGTGCCCGTATGGGAAGCTGGCACTGCAGGTGGAGGCCTAACCTCCTACACCACAGCATCAGCCCCCGTTTCTCCTCGTTTCTTTCTGGTCTTCTGACCGAACAGTCTCAGTTGACACATCTTCAGGTAGGCTCATTCTTTCCTGTGCTCGCCCAGATCTGCTGCTGAACCCCTCCCTCGTTGTTTTTCATTTCCACTACTGTGCTTTTCAACCCGATTTTCTGTTGGGATCTTTTTATAATTCCTGTCTCTTTACGGGTAGTCTCTATTTTGGCCTAACAAGGTCAATGTCTAGGCTTCCTCAGGGACAGTCTGGATGAAGGGCTCTTTATACCCTGTGTGTGCACCAGGCTTTCTTCTTTCTTTGCATGCTTCATAGCTGTTCATTGAAAACTGGACATTTTAAATCGGATCATGTAGCAAACTGGGAAATCATATCCCCCTCTCCCCGCTGAGTGTCAGTTGTTGGTGGTTTAGTGCCTTTTCTGAACTAATTCTTATATTTTTCATTTTTATTCGAAAGGCTTAGACAGAGTTATTCCATCTGCTGATTCACTCCCCAAATGCCCACAACAGCTGGGACTGGGCCAGGCCAAAGCCAGGAGTCTGGAACTCCATCCATGTCTCCCATGTGGATGGCAGGACCAGAGTAGCTGAACCATCATCTGCTGCCTCCCAGCAGGTGCTGCGTTCACAGGAAGCTGGATCCGACATGGAGGAGTCAGGGCTCAAGCCAGGCACTCTGATGAGGGATGAGGGAGTCCAGGTGGCATCCTAACCACTGCACCAAACACCTGCCCCCGACCTAATTCTAAGATGTTGTGGGTACTGTCCTGTGTGGCCAGTGTAGTGTCTGCCCATTTAACTTAGTGATCATACAGAGATAGCCTTAAATACCTAGCCCCGATGTCACTCAGCCAGTGAGCAGGTAACTCCACCTTAGCCTCTTACCAGCCTTTCATTCTGTGAGTTCGCAAACAGTTGATGACTGTTTCTGCCAGGGTTTCTGCTTTCATGGAGATTTTCATGGTGGGCAGAGGCCTTTTTCTGCCACTTTCATTGGCCTCACCCAGTCTTGTTCCTATTTATATTTTTAATATGATTCCATTTCATCTCCTTGCAAGACAGAGAGATGGCCTGTATCTGTTGGTTCACTCCTAAATGGCTGCAACAGGCAGGGCTGGGCCTGGCCGAAGCCAGGAGGCCAGGAGCCTGGAACTTCATCTTGGTCTCAAGCACTTTGGGCCATCATCTGCTCAAAAGATGCATTAGAAGGAACTCGGGTCAGGAGCAGACGCAGGGCTCAAACTGATGCTCCCATGTGGGATGCGGTGCCCCAAACACCAGCCTAAACCCACTGTGCCACACCACCCACCCTTCTCGTTCCCGTCTCCTTGAGATTTGCTTTTTCTAAGCTTTAAGAATATTCTTGGCCGGCGCTGCGGCTCACATGGCTAATCCTCTGCCTGCAGCGCTGGCACACCGGGTTCTAGTCCCGGTCGGGGCGCCGGATTCTGTCCCGGTTGCCACTCTTCCAGTCCAGCTCTCTGCTGTTGCCCGAGAAGGCAGTGGAGGATGGTCCAAGCGCTTGGGCCCTGCAACCACATAGGAGACCAGGAGGAAGCATCTGGCTCCTGGCTTTGGATCGGCGCAGCGTGCCGGCCATAGCAGCCATTTGGGGGATGAAAAGGAAGACCTTTCTGTCCCTAACTCTGCCTGTCCAAAATATATATATATATAATATATATGATAAAATATAAATATATAATATATATATTTTTTGTTTTTGCTACATTGTTATTTCTAGCTTGCCAGGTGTGGTTTCTTCTCTCCCCTGACTCCCTGCGGACTTCCCATCATCTTCCACCTCTGGCAGGTCTGTCTGCTGTTGTCTTTTCACTCTATTTTTCTCTTTTTGGAAAACTATTACCCAGATGTTAGCGCTTCCACTTGTTTGCCATAGGCTTTAGTTTTTTATGTTTGTCACGTCTTCTGGGAGTTTTTTTCTTACCATGATCTTTAAGTTCACACTCACTCAGCTGTACCTGTTCTGTGGGTACCTGAGCAGTGGCTTAACCCCTGTGCCACACCGTTTGTCCCAAATGGAGAACATTTTGAACACTGACGTGACACTCAAACTTCAGAGTTTGGAGCGTTTCAGAAAAGGAATCCTCAACCAGCAGTTCACGATATAGACAAGTGATTCCAAATATTGTTGGGGACATGGGACAACTGGAGTCGTACAGATTACTGGTGGGAATGTGGTATGGATGACTTTGGAGGTTCTTTTATTATAAAGGTAAACACACGCTTGTCATACAGTCCATCAGTTCACCCCTGGGTATTCAGAGAAGGATGAATGTAGGTTTACAAAAGGCTTATGTGTTCATAGGCCCACAATCCAAACGACTCAAGGGTCCATCAGCAGATTAGATAAACTGTGCTGCATCTGTACAACAGAACACTGCAAGGGCATGCAGTGAGCTACTGACACCCACAATAGTGTCAGCAAACTTCAAAAAAGGAGGTGGGGCCAAAGGCAACAGGCACCTGAGAGTACATAGTTCTGTGATGCCACTTGTATGATCTGGAAAAGGCAAAACTGCAGTGACAGAAAACAGGCCAGCTTGGTGCTGGGGGCCGGCAATGGGAAGTGTGTGTGGGGAGTGGTGGAATGTAAGGGCAGCTCCCCAAGGACACATCCCATTGAACTTTACACTTAAAACATATGCAGTTTATTGTATGCAAATTATAACCACAATAAGATGTGAAGGGCAAACCAGGTCTGCAGAACCCCTTACTCCTGAGCTCTCCAATGCCAGGTCCACATTCTAGATCCCTGTAAGACCAGGTGGGAGAGGTAGAAGAAGGGCACCCAGGCTGCCCACGCTGTGCATAAAGCAAAACAAACGTGTGCAGAGCACCTAGTAGTAGTAGTGCCACAGAAGCTAAACCGCCTGCAGACTGATGTGGCTCCAAGGCCACCGGCTTTTGTACATGTCAGTCTCCTTGAGAGGTCATGGGACCAGTGTGAGCTAGAACCTTCTCTGGGTAAACACTGGCTCTGGGACAGGGCCCAGCACACCCTCTCCCTTCAGTCCCTCATCCCAGGGGATGCAGACCTGGGCCCAGACCTGGGTCTGGGAAGGCAGGTTTGCCTACAAGAGACCCGAGAGAACCCCACCTACTCCAGGTTTGTGGCCCTGTGCAGGGGGAATGTGTGGCGGTTCTGCTGCCCGCAGCACTGACTTGTCCTTTGTCCAACTCAGTTTGGGGGCAGTCCGGTGTCCTGTGCTGTGGGGCTGGCTGTTCTGGATGTCTTGGAAAAGGAGCAGCTCCAGGCCCACGCCACCTGTGTGGGCCGCTTCTTGATGGAACTTCTCAGGCAGCAAAAAGCCAAACATGCCATCATTGGGGACATCAGGTGAGGCCTTGGGGGGGGGCAGCAGTCACCACCCAGTAACCAGGCACCCACCAGGAGTCTGGCCTGGTACCTTCCACTCTGCAGAAGTGGCACAGAATAACAGGGAAGGGGAGGCTCTGACAGTGTGCATCTTTCCTATGCCACACCTTGGGCACCCCCTCCCTGGAACCTTTTTCACCATCCTGAGGGCACCCCCAGCTCTCAGCCTGCCCAGTAGGCAGCCAGGCATGCAGTGAGTTAGCAGGACAGTATGGCCTTCTCAGGTGTCACCTTCTCTAGGGGCGCTGGACTCTTCATTGGCGTGGACCTGATCAAAGATAAGGCCACACGGACGCCGGCAACTGAAGAAGCAGACTACTTGGTATCCAGGTACTTTCCAAACAAGGTTCCCTTCTGGGCCATGAACCAGCATGTTTTGTCTCCAACACCTAGGGCCCCGCCAACTGAAGAACCACCCCCACCCACCCTGTTCCAGGCCCCATGGGCCCCTGGACATGACTAGAGGTGCAGTGTGTAGTACCGGGGCCTCTGAGAGGCAAGGGGCAGCTGACCAGCACGTCCTAGCTGGGGTCCCAAGGCCCAGCAGTCAAGGCTTCTGATGACACAGGCCTTTCCCAGGCCAGGAGTGTGGCTGAGGGCTCCGATCCAGTCAGCCCCAACACTGGCTTTCCCAGCAGGGCAGTATCGACAGCCACCCTTCAGGGCAGAAAAGGCTTCCAGCATGGTGGGGGTGCCAGATGAGTCAGCAGCTCAGCCAGCCCATCTCCCAGCCCTGACTTGCATAGTTTAAAGTCTCATTTTTTAGAAATGTATTTCAAAGGCAGATACACATCTTCCATCTACTAATTCACTCCCCAGATGTCCACAGCAGCAGGCTTAGGGCCAGGTAAGGCCAGGTCTTTCATGTGGGAAGCAGCCACCACCTGCTGCCTCCCAGGGCACACAGCAGCAGGAAGCAGGAATCTGAAGCCATCTGCAGCCCCTTTTGTCTCCATCTCCCACCCCTCCCTGCCCACCCAGAAAGCCCTTATTCAGACTGCAGTGTGCATGGACCCATGTTCCTGCTGTTTGTCCTTGGTGGCCTACTAGGCTTCTCAGTCACATCCACCAGCTCACTTCCCCCTTGGGGGGGGGGGGGCTCTTCAGCTGTCAGGTGGCATAGAAGGCACCCAAACTGTTGAATTCTGACCTTTCCTGTGAGGTTGTTGCTCCAGGTGAGGAAATGCCAAGATCAAAGTGACCTACAGCTGCTAGGTAGCAGACTTGACCCAGGCCTGACTCCCAAGTCCAAACCCCGTTCTTTCTGGCACTGCTCTTGTTGGTAGCCAGAACAGTGTGATGTCCGACTCCCCCCAGTGACCAACAGTGAGCATGGAACGTGGGAATGACTCAAGTAGAATCATCTTACTAGAAACAGCCTGGGGGCAGGAGCAGGTGGCTCAAGGACTAGGTTGGGAATACACAGGGCCCATGCACCACACTCTTCTGCCTGTTATGGAAAAGCATAAAGCAGCCACTGAATCACAGAAACCCTGCAGCAATGTGGTGCCATAGACTAAGGTTTGGCTTAATGATGTTTCCTGGCTGTGGGGAGGCCCCTTCCGGAGGGCAGCAGGCTCAGGGCCAGGTGCAGCACACCTCACATCAGGCCTACTGGTGCTGGGCCACTCATTGAACTTTACAAGTTACCAGGAGGGATCTCACAGCAGCATGGCAGGACCCTGGTCAGGAGGCCCAGGCCACAATAAGGACTGTTCTATCCTTACAGACTGAAGGAGAACCACATTTTGCTGAGCACGGATGGCCCTGGGAGGAATGTCTTGAAGTTTAAGCCCCCGATGTGCTTCAGCCTAGACAACGCACAATACCTGGTGGCAAAGCTGGATGCCATCCTGACCGGTGAGCTTGGAGCCTGAGTGGCAGCTGACCATATCTCTAGAACCCACCTGTGGCTTGTGGCTAGTTTCCCAACATCCACTTCAAGAGGTATCACCCTGCTGGACGAGGAGCAGTAGGGACTTAAAGACAGGCCTTCCTGGCCTGTGCCTCTCATTTTCCTTCCTGATCCCTGGGTAGACAGGAGCCAAGCCATCACCCAGCATACTTGATCAAGTTTCAGACAACTGTGTGACATCAGGGGAGCAACCGTCAAGGACTGAGGTGGCTGAAGCTGCACTCCACACTGGAAATTAAGGTTACCCTCAGCTGCTGAACAGCTACAATAAAATTTGCACAACAGATTCCTAATCACCTAGGGTAGGTGGTCAGCCCAGGGCCTCCTCAGATCCATTTAAGCAATGGGGGATTCGACAGGGAGTTTAGACTAATGCCACGGGCCTGACGGGCCTGGTCTGGAGGTCCTGGATGGAACTGAGGGAAGGCTTTGTGCTTTCAAGAAGCTGCTGTTGCACCTGTGTGGGTAAAGGGTAGGAAATGGCACAGCTGGGCTGGTGGGCCTAATCTCCAAATTACCATGTGAGCAACCTGGATACCAGAGGCAGAGAAAGGTGACCAGGTCAGATGGCTTTTGTTATTTTTCCAGACATGGAAGAGATGGTGAGAAGCTGTGAGTCACTGAGGCTCTAGCTCTGAGCCAGCCGCGCTCCAGGTAAGTAGGCCTTGCTTCTCGCTCAAGACCCAGAGGCATTCATTCCCTCACCACTGCAGAGAGCATCAGCAAGCATAACCATTTTAAGGAGCATTTTCATTAAAGTCATGTCCCCGTCCCAGAATGATTTCAACGCTGGGAGGTTTTAGCTACCCTGGGCATCATCCTCCCACTCCCACCAGGAAATCTCCAGAGCACTTAGTATGCATCTGATGGCTAGCACAAGAGGGCAGAACAGCCATCTGCTCCCTCTGTGACTCCTAGGAGAGCAAATGAAACTTGCCTCTCACAACCAGCTCATCTTCAATCTCAGCTGCCAGGCAGATTTGGGGTACTCCAATCTCCCCACAAATAGCCCCCACCCAAGTGGGCATTTGGGGGAGATGGAGCACAACAGATCATGTCCAGCTTCAGCTGGCCCCTGACGCAGAGACGAAGTCTTTCTCATTTTCGTTTACTCTTCACCCCTCCAAGAGCTTCCTTTTAGAAGCCATTTCCTTTCTTGAAAGGGGACTTGTGCCCGAGGCAGGGCACAGTCATCAAAGGAAACCAGCCAAGGATGTGGAGTATGTAGTTGTGCCTGACATGATGCCATTAGATCAGGATAGCAACTCGGAACAAATTCAAAAAGGTCAGTGAGTGGCCAGGCCCTTCCAAGCTGCACCCCAAAATCGGGCTTGACAGCTGAAGGGGCTTGCTGTGGGAGGAGACCCCAGTCCCACAGCACCTGGCCCCCCCCAACTCTGGGCACACAGCATA